TTCACTAAATCAGTGTAATGTAATCTACATTTGATTTATTCTTCCCAATTTATCTCTTGTATTGATCGATATCAAGAATAATGCAATTTTGAATAAAATCGCTTATCAAGTTTAAATTTTTAGGTAATTTGGTAATGCCATACCACTTACTCTCTTCCTATGTTTTCTCACTTCTCTCTTGTTTCTATTGTTTGCTTATTAAAATGCTATAGTAAAATTGCGATAAACCTATATATACATTTTTTTTAAAAGTGCAATAATCCCAGAGAGGAAACAAGGTATTCTTTAGTGGGAATAGTTAAAGTGCAAGTTGATTTCATTGTAAAAAGACATACATTACAGCCCATCTCGGTTCAACGTGATTGATTTGGCTGATTTAATTAACTTGATCGATTCATTACCATATCTTATAAAGCTTTTAACTTTACTTGAATAGAAGTAGTGATTCATTATTTAGTGAACTATTGATATAAAGTAAATTTTTTTTATTTATATATTCGATAGTCAATCCAGTGTCATAGTCCTATTTGATTGAATTATTTATATTTTCCGTTGTATTGTTCATTATCACCACTGCTATTATAGCTTTGTCTTTTTTTTTTTTAGGAAGACAGAGTAACTTTTATCTGCAACAAGAACAACTATCTAGCGCATTATAGCTTTCTCCTTTTACGTTATCAGTCTTACATACCGTTTAAGATTAACTTTAGACATTTTTAAAAGGCTTAAAGGTTCTCTGATATAAAGTTTTTAAAATCACTATTGCTATATCGTCTATTTCTTAATTCATCATTGGATTTTTTTTATTATCACATATAACCTATTCAATTTTAAGCTTATGATAGATTATTTTACCATACTATAATAAGATTATTCAAAAAAAAAAAAACGCAACGTTAACAACAAATTAATCATTGCCCTGTTTCATATATTAAATATTATGAATATTTGATAACATTGGAATTTCAAAGAGATAAAATACTATTGTTCATTTTATAAATCATTCAATACCTGGCATACCCTTATATTTCATTTTTCTCTTTTATTCCTAATAACTTTTTTATTAATCTGTGTGTAAATAAGTGCATCACAATACACATCTTTAATACAATAATATTCTTCGTATACCAATCATGTCGCAATTACATACAGTATTTTCCCCTGTCTTCCCAATAGAGAAGGACTCAGATGTTCCATCAGATGAAATACCGTTGGTACAAACTTCAACTATACAAGTATTCATACAATTGGCAGAACCTGTAGTGTTCATACAAGGTTTCGAGTCACAAGAAATCGCAGAAAGACCACCAAGTATATTAAGAGGTTCTTTAATTGTTAGGGTACTCAAACCAAGTAAATTGAAAAATATTTCGTTGGCATTTAAAGGTTATTCAAGAACAGATTGGCCAGAGGGCATACCGCCAAAAAAACAAGAATTTGTAGAGATAAATGACATCGTGAACCATACGTGGCCTTTTTATAGGAGTTCAGCCCAAAATTCTTCATACCTGGGCAGTGGGCCAAACAGTACATCTTCTTCAGTTACCAATATATCTGCATTAAATCCAGATTCTGACGATCCAATACTACAAGATAGTGGAGCATCTCTATTTAGACCCTCACCAAAAACAAATGCTGCAAATAGGAATGGCCATTCTTCAACTTCTATAAATACGCTTTCCTCTTCAAGCATTGCATCAAAAAATAGCACTGATGTTACACCAACTAAACCAGCTATTTCTGAAACAAATGCTGCAACAAGAAGTTTATCACCTTTACGGTTGATAAGAAAGGCGACCTCACCAAATACAAACGATAATAAGCAAACAAAACAATCTTCATCTAGGTTTTCTGACTTATTTAGTGGAACTTTTTCAACATCTAATGATAATTCTCAGGGAAACCAGAATAAAAATAACAATTTATCTCCTAATTCAGCTAACATCAATATGCATGGGCCTTCTGATGCCTTTATCTTCCAACCTGGTGACTACATTTATACATTTGAACAAGCAATTCCTTCGTCCTACCCTGAAACAATAAAAGCTGATTATGGGTTTGTTGAATATTACTTATTCATATCGATAGAACGTTTTGGTGCGTTTAAATCTAATATCACAGCAAAATTTCCTATTACTTTGGTTAGAACGCAAGCAGATACATCAATTGAAGAAACAGAACCTATAGCGATTTCTCGAGATTGGGAACACCAACTTCATTACGATATTGTTATTGCATCAAAAGACATTATTCTTGATGCCTTTCTACCAATTGCTTTCAGGTTTTCTCCCATTGACAAGGTTACTTTACATCGTATTAGAATATATTTAACAGAAACAATAGATTACTATTGTAAAGGGAAAAAGGTTCACAGAGTAGAACCAACTAAGAAATTTCTTTTAGCAGAGCATAATGGTCCTAAATTAGAAAATCTTGGTGAGAACAATAATTCATCAAAGGCAAAATATTTAGGTAATTTATTAGTTGATGATAGTACGGGGGATCTTGTTAATAAAGAATTTGAATACCAAGTATTTGTTCCAAATACATTTGCAAACAAGCAAGCTCTACATCCTGACACAGGATATGAAAAAATCAAATCGCAACATTGGATTAAGATCTGTTTGAGACTTTCGAGAATGATTGATGGTAAAAGGAAGCATTATGAAATTGTTATAGATTCGCCAATACATGTGTTGCATAAGCTGTGTTCGCATGCAAATACATTACTGCCTTCATACGACTGTCATATACCTATGGTTCGCTCAAGTTCAAAATTGCATCTTAATTCGATTCATGATTCTCTAACTGAGGCTCCAAAATATCATGATTCTAACATTTTCTTTCCAAAGGAAGTACTGTTATCACCAATTCTTTCTCCAGAAGTCCATGCTCTAGATCTCAAGCTTGACAATGGAAGAAATACAAGAAGAGTTGAAAGTAATAGGAAATCAGATATAATTTCTGATGAAGCTAAAGAAGTATTTAACTCACCTAGATTAAAGGCTAATATTTATCAACCGGATAACCTACAAAGAGAACTGGCTTCTCCTCAGGCAATACCATTATCTCCAATTGCATCACCATCAATGACGTCTTTAAACCTTCAAACTGATGAAGAACCTCCTGAATTTGATTTTGATTTAGACACAATCAATTCTTCCTCATCAAATAATAAAAGGCTTCCGAACAATCCCCCAACATATTCTGATGTGATGAGATCTGATGGGGTTACTAGTAATTCTACAAACATTAGAACTTTAATGGCTGGAAAGTTCAACCATAAATCACAAGAAAAATTAGAAGTTATGAAAACAGAAAAATATTCAAAACATAATAGTTTAAATTCTTTGAGCTATTCTAAGAAAAGAATTAGTGATGGCAGCAGCCATAGTTCTTCTTCTAAATCAAAAGAAGAAAATATAGAAAATCTCTCAAATTATGGAATGAATAATCTAGGTCCTAAATCTAATCCAATGTTGGCAACTTCAATAAGTAGATCAAATTCCTCACCGATCCATACATCAAACTCTCAAAGTAACTTAATCAGTACTAATAAAGTCGATGCAATGCATGATATGTTACCATCTACAATAAGATTCGATAACCAGTCTTATAATGATTTAAATGAAATTCTTGATATCGACGATAATGATACTGAAGATGTGACATCGATTAGTTCATCAATAAATAGAACTGGGATATCCGCTGCTTTGAGTTTAGATGGTCCTTCAGCTCAACCTTTACTACATTCTGCTAACTCAGAACATAATAAAACAGCTGATGAATCCTCTTTTAATTCTTCTGATTTGATAGATGATTTAATAACATTCCCAACTGAATCCTCGATTGATATAACTGCATTCTACCATAAAAATTCCAATACCTGGCATCCATTACAACAAGGGGAAATTAATCAATTATCCTCAGTATCGAGTAACGATTACACTTTTAAAGTCGCAAATAGTAATAATGTTTTAAGCGATTTCAAGCATGCTTTGCATGATGGTCAGACAGATAATAAACGACTTGCATCTATTGACAGTACTTCCACATTACGTGGTGGAAATGCAAATTGATCTTGTTGACATTTTTTACTTCAATAATTCATTCTTTATGATTCATTACGATTTCACCGTTAGATAGATTGAACCCATAAAGGGCAATTAAAAAATTTTATACTACATTAATTTTAAATTTTAAACATTAGAAATGTATATTTTATATTTATAATTATTTACCCTATTTATCTCCCAAGTTGGTTTAAGACAGATGTTAATTCAGATGGTGTATATTTAATATGCTTTCTTGGATTTTTAAATGAGTCCTTATATCTCCCATAGAAACGCTCATACATTGGCATTACCAATGCAATGATTTCTGATTTTAATAAAGATTTTAATGCAGGGTCAGATAGTCTGTAGTGCTTAAATTTAGAGACTAATTCTTCGAAACCCTCATTAAATCTTCTGAATTTTTCTTTAATTTGATCTTTATCCTTTGACGCAATTTTACCAGAACTATCAACAAAGACTGAATCCAATAAGTTTGCAGTTAGATCCTTCCAATCAGATACCAAGTAGTTGATATAACGTTTCTTTAATTTTTCCAATCTTGTGTGACCATCTGAACCTAACAATGAATTTAAACCTGATTTTTCGACGATTTGTTCAATTAACACAAGATTCATTATAATAAAGAAACCAATGCGTGGTTTCTGAGTATTTCTAGAACTATTTGGATTGGCTACGTCAGGCTCAATATTTGGAATCAGAATCCTTTGAGCACTACGTTCAATGCTTACTATCAAAGTGTCTATACAATCACTTAAGAAACAGGAAAATAAGGAAGCAGGATCATTGTTCACCAATTTACCCTTTAGAGTAAATTCTTTCTCGACATAATCAGGTGGCAGCCAGTTTTCTCTTTTCATCGTGGCAATTGCACTTAAACAACCCGATTTGTATTCACTGAATTTTCTTAAACGTGACATTGTGTCAACAGTTGCCTCAGTAACACCATTATCACTTGGGATGGTAGTTATATTTTTAGTCTTCGATATAATTCTTTGAATACTGTTTCTGAATGGTTCTTGCGTTAATTTGCTTACAACTCTGTAGCATTCTTCTATTGGTTCATAATTTTTTAATGTATTACCTCTTAGTGATCTTTTTACTTCGTTTATGCTATCAATCAGTTCGAAACTAAAGACGCCAGCATTCTCTAAATTGTTCTTTATCATACTGATATTAATATTAAATAGTCTAACATAAGCATTTAACAGAGGCTTAACGATGCTTGACAAAATATGTGGCTTGAAATCAGGTTGTTGGACGTATAAATCATCTACTAAAGATTGTTCATTTGAAATGAAACCCAACAATGCCTCTGTGTAACCTAGAATGCCGCTACTACCCTTTTCGTAAGGTGCATTTTCTGAAGTTGTCACTTGTTTTGCAAAAGGTTCTAGGAATGCCATACATTTTAGAATCATTTCTGTTCTTTCTTGTATAAATATATCTTGGATATTTGAATTTTCAGAAGAGTTATTAAAGTAATCCAATATTATTGACAATTCTAATAAATGTTCATCCTCGAAATATGGGAAGGGCATTTTTTTATTCATATATATCTGAGGATCAAATGGCTTAATCATATTTAATATACCAATGAAATATATTTTTAAAGAGCCTTCACTAGACTTAATCAATTCTGCCAAGTGTGTTAAAATACCAGTAAATTCGGCATTCTTTTCTTGATTTGAATTATTTGACTTGATATCATCCAACATATCATCCAACTTGTGAATAGCCTTTATGTATGGTTTTAATCCTACCTCTTTTATTCCCTTCTGTAATACAATTTCATGTTTAGATGCTTCGTTTGCCAAATCTTTTACCGAAGATACGGAATTTAACGTACTTTCTATATTTCTCTGCATTGTAGCCAACATATTGTTTCTGGATAAAATAGGAGAGAACAACTTACTCGACTGATCAGTGGTAACACCTATTCTATTCAAAGATTTTTTAATTTGAAAAGTCAATTCACTGACTTTCTCAAGACTCTGAGAAAGTACGAGAACATCAGCCTCATCAATATCAATTTCTGTAGCTGCCATCACTTGTTAAACTGAAAAGAAACACACACAATTACAAAATTCAGCATCAACTCCAACAAAAATACCTTTGTATTTAAATATCTGATCTGTAAATATTTTTTTTTCAAAACTTTACCTAATTGAAGTGTATTGACGATATTAGAAGCAAATAATGTAAAATCTCTCTAAGGACAAAACCGCAATTGCTCAATTGATAACTTTGACTAGTGCTACAGACACACAAAACGATCCTTATAAACCTTTTAACCTCCTTTCTAATCCGATTTAGATTCAAATTCTTATAATATTCCAACCTTTAAAAGGGTTTTAGTAGTTATTTAAATTTGATATCTTCAAAAGGTCCTGTTGGACTGTATAAAATCAGGTTACCCTGCCATGGAAAATGAATTTACAATTCTCGCTACCAAATGATCTGTTAGATGTATAAGAAGATGAATGGATGGAAACTGGAACGACAGTGTTAGTGTGACAGGTTTGTTATGTAAGATATATCAGTTATGTGAATGGCATACCATGAATAAAGTACTGTTTAAACACAGGTTTTTCTGAATAATTACCTTATGGTGCGTTATCCAGAGAGATCTAATGTCACAAATGGTTCTTGATGATCGACAGACACTGGATCCATACAATGGAAATTTCATTAGCATCACCAGTTGTTGCGATCTTCATAATCCATTGAGAAATCAGGGATTTTAACTAGATAATTTCGACATCTATGTGTGTATGTGTGTGTATGTATGTATTTCTGTATGTATTTTGACAAAGGCGAAAGAGAAAGAAGAGGGAAACCAAATCTAGTCACGTGATGACATTATCTGGGAAATCAGATTATTAATCATCGTGTACGGCTCATCTTTCGAAACTTATCAAATAATTTAAATAAGATGCATCAATGCAGGTTCGGATAATGCAACCAGTTCAATTCAAATTTAAATTTAAACAGCAGATAAGAACACTATACTCTCCCACATCCGGATCTCTAGTCTCTCTCTTAATACAGCTTTATTTTAGCCTTCCAAGCCCACCATTTGATTGATCTTTGGAGATAGAAGAAGGAAAAGAAAACTTTGATGTCAGCTCAAGAAGTTAAAGATTTGGTCGATGCCCTAGAGAAAGCATCGAAACTATCATCTAGAGGCAAATCTATTAAAAGAGTTTGCAATGTGTTTAACAGTGACCATAGGGTAGTCAGCTGGAAGTTCAACGAATGGGATTATGGCAAAAATAATATTCAATTACCTTGTAATGCTCGTGGCCTATTTATATTAGATGACAAAGATACTGATCCAGTCATCGTTGCAAGAGGATATGATAAATTTTTCAATGTAAATGAAGTTTTGACTACAAAATGGGAATGGCTTCAAGAGAACACAGTTGGTCCCTATGAAGCCACTTTGAAGACAAACGGTTGCATTATTTTCATATCTGCATTGAAAGATGGAACATTGGTCGTATGTTCAAAACATTCTACTGGAGATAGAGATGACTCGGATAGAAACCATGCAGAAGCTGGTGAATTATATCTTAGAAAACAGTTGCACGATAAAGGTATCGATATTAACCAATTCTCAAAAGCCTTGTACGAACAGAATTTAACTGCAGTTGCAGAATATTGTGATGACACTTTCGAAGAACATATAATTGAATACGCTCCAAAAGATGCAGGTCTATATTTACATGGATTGAACTTGAATCAACGTGATTTCAAAACCTTACCTATAGGTAAGGTCGCAGAATTCTCTGATATATTTGGATTTAAGAAAACTGATTACATCTCTAACGCTGACATTCATTTATTGAGGAAGTTCCTTGAAGATAAAGCAACAACAGGTACATATGAAGGAAAGGAGATTGAAGGGTTCGTTGTGAGATCTCATTTGAAAAATGGAGCAGATTTATTTTTCAAATACAAATTCGAAGAACCTTATTTAATGTACAGACAATGGAGAGAGGTCACTAAAGATTATATTCAAAATAGAACCAGAGTCTTTAATTTTAGGAAGCATAAATTTATTACAAATAAATACTTAGACTTCGTGATTCCAATATTAGACCAAAATGAAGAATTGTGTCACCAATATATGAAGGGTTTGGGTGTTATCGACCTTAGAAATAGGTTCATAGCTACTTATGGAATGAGTGCTATGGAAATTTTAAACTACGAAAAAGTTAAAGAATTGGAATTAAAAAATTCACTTGACTTTAGTATAGTAGATGAAAATACAAAATTTTTGATTATACCCATAGCGGTTATTGGTTCAGGTAAGACAACCTGTTCACTAACATTAACAAATTTATATCCTGAATCTTGGGGTCATGTTCAAAATGATGAAATTACTGGTAAAGACAAGTCAATGTTGATGAAAAAGTCACTTCAACTATTAGCTAAACCTAACATTAAATGTGTCATAGTCGATAGAAATAATCATCAATTTAGAGAAAGAAAACAGTTATTTGACTGGGTAGAGCAGTTCAAAGAAGTTTATTTGCCATACGACACCAACATTAAAGTGGTTGGGCTTTCATTTGCTGAATATGAAGATTTAGAATTAATTAGAGAACTTACCATTGCAAGAGTATTTGATAGAGGTGATAATCATCAAAGCATAAAAGCAGATAAGTTCGGGGAAAAGAAGGTCCTTGGGATTATGGATGGTTTTTTGAAACGATTCCAAGCTGTCAATGAGGACAGATATCCAGATAATAAATTTGATTTCATCATTCGCTTAAAAGTACAGGACTCCGAATCATCCATAAAGAATGTTAAAACTATATTAAATGAATTGAACAAGGAGTATCCTATACTGATTCCAAAGGTTCCCTCTCAATCAGAAATAGATATTGCATTTAAGAGAAGTTTGGAATATAAACCAACAGTTACAAAGATTGTTGGTAGTGGTGGCAGAAATAATGGTAATGGCGGAAACAATGAAGAAATTAGGCAAAAAAAAATAAATCCAGTATATTATTCTGCAACCATAATGGACCTTCAATTAATTAGAAGCGAAATTTTGAAATCATTGGAAGATTCTGATTTAGGTGAAGAAGAGAAAATGTTGATTAAAAATACAGTTGAGAATAAATTACAAAACAAATTACATATTACGTTAGCGCATGTAGGATCTTCCAAAAGAGGTACGCCTGAACAACAAGCTATTTGGAAAAATTATTCTAATCGCTATATCCCATACTTGAAGACTGTATTTAAATCTACTGAGGTTCCAACTTCAACTGAGATAATTACTGAGGATTCTGTAAAGTTTTCCATTCGTAAACTTTGCATGGATTCCAAAATATTTACTGCAATTGTAGATATCAATGAGCTAGGTGTATTGACATCTGAAGGGAATAACATAAGTAATTTACGTTGCTCAAATAATTATTCCCATATAACTTTGGGTATTTTAAAAGAAGGTACTAAACCATTTTATTCTAATGAACTCTGTGAGAAAGTTGAAGCTGGTTCAGCCGGTGAAGATGTGAAATCCTGGAAGATTTCAAGACCAAATATTCTCGAAGCTAAAGTTACCATTAACTTATAGAATTTTTGAATCATAAGACGGTGTTTTGTTTGTCCTATGAATTTCTCTCCAAGAGTATATTTGTCTATATTTTTTATCATAAGGATTCATTACATCGTATTTTATATAATCATTGTAAATGCATATTTAATTTGATACAATTACAGCATACTATCGCTGTTAACATTTTTGAATTTCTTTAAGATTTCTATAATATTTAGTTCAGTGTTTTCCTTCTGGTTTTCAAGTATCTTTATTTGAGTTTCTAACTGTTTCTTTCTCACAGTAAATGATGACATCATCTCTGATAATTTGATATCAATGCCTTCTAGATGACTGTCATCTGATAAAGTAGGCAGAGAAACCATAAACTCTTTGGAATCAAAAATATTTCCATCCTGTAAGGAATCTACATTAGCAGTCGATCTTTTAATTATTTGTTCTTGCCAACTATCCCCATCACTTTCATGAGATTGAGAGTCGACCTCTACGGCCTTCATTATTTCATCCTTCCTTCTCTCGGACTCTAGTAATTTTTCCTTAGAGGACAATGCCAGTCTATTATCTTCAAACTCTCCCAAATCTAATTCTAGCCCAATGTAGTCGTTCTCATTTTTTTTTTGTTTCCCACCATTTTTCTCTATTATTTCCATTATTTCAACTTCGTCATCTTTATCCAACAATTTTACATATTCTCTTTCATTAACTTTACCAAAGTTACGAGGTTTCTCACTTAATTTCCTTCTTTCAGATTTCAACCTTTCTATTAACTCCTTTGAGGGTATAACGTTATCATTATCTGAGATTGAACAATCATTGGTTTTACTATCCATCACATCAACGTCACTCATATCAGATAAATTCAGTATTTTGCTGTCATCATTATTTTTGGAAGGATGGAAAATATCAGAATATTCTTCTATTTTACCACTTGTAGCAATTTCAGCATTCCTCTTGTCCTCATCATTTCTCTTTTTCACTAGCTTCAGAGGTTTAACTTCGACTGGTTCCTCATCTATTTCATCGTAATCCAAGGAAACTTTGCTTCGCACTTTACCATTCCCTGAAATTGTAGCAGACACCTTCCCTTTATTACTGGACCCAGATAATCGTATCTTATTCCTCTTGATGAATGCCATTGATTATAATCACCACTACCAAACTTACAATCACTATTGTTCCTTTCCTTCTTATCTTTCAAAAGGTCTTCTATATTAAAAAAACTTAAATTTCACTTTACTTCACTCTAATTAGCAAACAAAAAACCGTAAAAACTACCAGAACTCCGAAATAACCTTTACTTCTTAGATCAATATCCAACACCTCATTAGTGTTTCCAGTTGTTGCTCAACTCATATATCAAGAAAGTTCTTTAACCTTCATCATTGACAAATTTATATATAGTCGATTTCAAGATGAGAAAAGATATCGCGATGATTAAAAGATATCAAATATTTTGAGAACAGACTATATAACTTGGATGAAACATTTTGAATGATTACTTGATTTAATGGTTGAGAACATGAGCTTTGAGCATTCAATTGTAATTGGTATCTGTTAAAGAAGGTGGCAATCGATTCCATTGTTTTATTGGTTTGCTTTTAAATTGAATTGAAGGGTCTTAAAGTGAATAAGATGGCTACGTTAAAGCAAAGAAAAGAAGATTTTGTTACTGGTTTAGAAGGTGGTACTATTTTAGAGATCAATTATATTACTTCTATTGCTCTAGTGAGCTATTTTTGTTGGAATTTGATTAAAAATGATGATTTGAATGTTAGTTTTGAATTTTTCTTGGATTGGGTAGCTTTATTGTTATCAATTACAACATATTCTGATTCGCCATCTGTTTTAATTACCTTAATGTTGATTCCATGTTTGACTGCATTTTTTTGGAGATTGCTCTCTAATAGAGATACTCAAAGTGGGAAAGCTGGATCAGATTCTGATTCTGATTCATCTAAAGAGGTGGGTTATCAATTGGTTAAAAAACCGTTCATAACTGCTTATCGTGGGTCCATGTTGATTATTACGATGCTAGCCATTTTAGCAGTTGATTTCAATATCTTTCCTCGTAGATTTGGGAAAGTTGAGACTTGGGGTACCTCGTTGATGGACTTGGGTGTAGGTTCATTTGTATTTAGTAATGGTTTAGTTTCTTCGAGAGGTTTGATCAAGGAAAAAATGGATCCTCGTTATAGATTGAATTTCTTTAAAAGAATTTATAATGGTTTAAAATCTGGTTTAACATTGTTGATAATTGGATTATTGAGACTTTATTTTGTGAAAAATTTAGAGTATCAAGAACATGTAACTGAATATGGTGTTCACTGGAATTTTTTCTTGACCTTGTCGTTGTTACCACCAGTACTGTCAATTATTGATCCAATTGCTGAATATATCCCTCGTAACATCATTGCAATTATCATATCTATTGTATATGAATGGATATTATTGAGAGATAAGCAATCAATGTTAACATTTTTGATTTTAGGGGACAGAACCGATTTTTTCAGTTCTAATAGAGAAGGTATAATGTCATTTTTTGGTTATTGTTCAATCTTTTTATGGGGACAAAATACAGGATTCTTCATTTTGGGTAACAAACCTACAAAAAATAATTTTTATAAGCCATCAGCTGAATTGATAACTACATCTAAGAAGAATATAACATCTAAAAGATCTCAATCGAATTCTAAGTCAGGTTCAAAATCAAGTTTTACATTTTTCGATAAATTGACAACCGTATCGCCATTAAGAGGATTAATTTCATGGACTTTAATCTTTATGATCACTACAAATATCATAATTCAATGTCATCCATTTGATATCTCAAGAAGGTTTGCTAATATCTCTTACGTGTCATGGGTAGTGACATACAACTTAGGATTTTTATCATTTTACTGTTTAATCGATAAAATATTCAACAATTCAGAAAATAATTATAAGGTATCAATTCCATTGGAGGCAGCTAATAGCAACGGTTTGACTCTGTTCTTAATAAGCAACGTCACTACTGGTCTAGTCAATATGTCAATTTCGACCATAGATGCATCTGATTCAGTATCAATTGTTATTCTACTTGCATATTCAGCATTCTTATGCTCATTATCGGTAATAATGTACAAATATAAGATATTCATTAGATTATAAATGAAGATGGATATCGAACTCCCCTCTAAATTTTCAAGAATGTTAGAAGTATGGTCCCACTTTAAGAAAATGTGTACATCAAAAATGATGAATGTGGGTAAAATTGATTCAGGTACTATAAACTTTAAACGAATCAATGAAAGAAAAGATAAACATACATATACAACTACCTAAGGATCATCAAAACGTAATAGAACCAACAATGGTTAATTTCAAATATGTATGTTAATTATGTAAAGTTGTATAAATCAATCAGTGGGGTTTAACCCACCAATATAGTTCCTGCCGAGTTCTCTGAGGGAATTTTTCAAGCGATTTGGTGATATCAATCGAAACGTTTATATTTCGAACAATGAGGGTTAAATTAAAACAATGGATAATTAGATGAGTTGATGTTGTCAGTATATCAAACTATAAGACACTAGGATGCTAATGTTATAAAAGCAGTTGCTAAGTTTATAAAAAGTTTAAAGTCGTTCTTCATATTTTGGAATTTTTTTACTTTACAATATAACCTTCGAGTTAGATCGAAAACCATTAACTTAGAAGTTATACTTTCGATACATAGGTGTTGAAAAAAAAGTTATAACAGATATTAAAATAGTTAAGAGATTTATTGAAAGATTAAAGATTCCAAGGTGAAAAAGAATTCCTTAAATTAGTGATACAGAATAATGGCAAAGAGCAATCAACAAGGATTACGATATGACAAAAAACGAATGATGGATCCTGCTTTGAATACGGCTTTACGTTTCAATACAGAAAGAGTCACTATTATAAACCAGGATCCTAATTCAAGAATGTTCATCACTTGGTTCGTTATTTCTTGTTATTTCCCAGTTATTACAGCATGTTTAGGACCCATTGCTAATACCCTATCCATTGCTTGTGTTGTTGAAAAATGGAGGGCAGATGTTTATTATGTTGATAATGAAAGATTTGAACGTATTATAAAAGATCCAAAGGGCATATTTGCATTGAATATATTATCCTTGGTTATTGGGTTTTCTTCAAACGTTGTTTTACTATTGCATTTTGCTCAAAAATTGAGCTATCTTAAATCACAGTTAATTAATATCACTGGTTGGACAATGGCTGGTACCATTCTAATGGTTGATGTTATCGTATGTGCAAAGGCTGACGTTTCCAGTACTCAATCGAAGACTATTGGGTTTTGGATCGCGGTTATAACTACAGCTTTATATTTTGGGTGCACCTTTACCTTAACGGTACATTTCATAGGTTATCGATTGAATAAGTACCCAGCTAGATTTAATCTAATTACAAACGAGAGAGCCGTTATGGTTTTTACTGTGATGTTCTCTGTCTGGTTAATTTGGGGTGCCGGTTTATTTTCTTCCTTATTACACATTCCATTCTGTGATGGATTGTATTTCTCAGTCGTTTCATTATTAACAATTGGATTTGGTGATATTTCACCTAATACTGTTGCATTAAGGATTCTATCGTTAGTATATTCTTTATCAGGTGTTATGATATTGGGTTTGATTGTTGCTATGACTAGAGGTATAATTCAAAGATCATTAGGCCCTATTTTTTATTATCATAGAGTAGAGGTTACAAGAAAACATGCATATCAAAAACTCATAAAAGAGAATAAGCATTTCAGTGCCAGAGATGCTTATAATATGATGCAACGTATAAGAGTGGATTCTAAAAGGAAACAGACAGCCTTTTCATTAATTTCAACAATTACAGTGTTCATTATGTTTTGGTTAATTGGAGCAGTGGTTTTTAAATACGCAGAAAGCTGGGGTTATTTCACTTCGATCTACTTTTGTTTCTTATGTCTATTAACAATTGGATATGGTGATTATACGCCAGTGACTGGTGCTGGTCGTGCTTTCTTTATTATATGGGCTCTGGCAGCAGTTCCGTTGATGAGTGCAATTTTATCTACTGTAGGTGATACTTTATATGATTTGGCCAAATCGCTAGATATTACAATTGCCAAGAGATTCCATTTGGATTTAAAAAAAGTTGCTGTTTTAAGTCGTAGTACTTTCAGTTTATTTAAATTGGACACTGGTGAATTAGTTACGGAAAGTGATAATGAGGACTTTGAGGATACAGACAGCACACGCACTCAAAGTAGTGATATGAGTTACAGTTTAGAGACACCTACAAGAAGCACGAATCAAAATTTAGATTCTATCACTACACCACTTACATTAGAATCCACTAGAAGTTTGGAAACTATTCATGATAACAATATGGATGCTATAAAATTACATTATGAAAAATTATTAGAATTGTATCGTCTTGTTCAAGACATTGTTGAAATCCGTCGTCGAACTTATGAAAATGGTGATGAAACATTGAGCTATTCTCAATGGGCAGAGATATTTAATTTACATTTATTAAAATCGGCCTCCTTTGACAAGGACAGCGGTGATATGTTCTGGTTATCAGAAAGTACACCATTGAAATTTCCAATGGTTGAATCGACATTTGCAGTTGCCAAACTATTCAAGAAAATTTCAACTTTAAGTAGACAGTTGTTGAGAGACGAAGCTGTCCATACAGAAAGAGAAAATAAAGCTTATGAATTGATATCAAGTAGACCCACTACTATCGATGGAGAATTATCAGAAGTAAGATCGAGAGAACGTTCTAGTACAATATGATACCTGGGAGCTCATAGTTCTCTCACCATGAAGCTGAGCAAATACCTCTTCATTCATCAGGCCATTTTTCATTCTTCAAACTGCATTAAAAGACATAGATTTTACATAGTATATAGATATAAGATATATACCACACTTAATAAACTAATATTCATTCATATGTATCACATCAGACAACGTTCAATTATTTTTTTATATCTTTTCTTGGTCATCTAAATGGGCTTTTTTTAATTAAACGTAGCTATATTTAAATATCGGACATGAAATTTGACGTATTAATAAGGAACTTTACTCCATTTAAACCATAAATGTATCAGAATATATAACAGTTATAAGTTAATTTTAGAGATAATAGAGTACTCTGGTGCGATTTAAAGTTGGATATAAATTTAAATAGGGTTATTTTATTATTTAAACAAAACTTCTTTTCTGTTTGTTAGAAGTTGCTGGTTGATTTCATAATATTTTGGGTGTTTTTTGCAAAGAATACAGTACAGATTATACAGAACTTCGATAGGTATTAGAGTTAGTTATTAAAATATTATGGGAAATTCAGTTGGTGGTGTATTATCGGGAGTTAATCCCTTTGATTACAATCCTAGTTCTCCCATTACATTATTTTTATTCCAAACATGTTTGATTCTATTGATGTGTAATTTATTACATATGGTGATAGGAAGGTTAAGGCAGCCTAAAGTTATTTCTGAGGTTATTGCAGGGGTAATATTAGGTCCTACAGTTTTTGGGCAGATTCCAAATTATACCAATACTGTGTTTCCAAAAGAATCAATTCCTGGTCTGAATTTGACTTCAAATCTAGGGATTATCTTATTCATGTTTTTTTTAGGTTTGGAGGTCGATACTGAATTTATTAAAAAACACATCAAAACTGCACTATCTATTGGTATCATCAGTTTAGCATTTCCATTTGGCTGTGGTTGTTTATTAGCTATTCCACTTTTCCATACGTATGCAAACCAAGATCCTACAGCAAGACATGTCAAGTTCACTGTATTTATGGTGTTCATTGCTGTTTCTATTTCAGTTACAGCGTTTCCTGTGTTATGTCGTATATTGAACGAGCTAAGATTAATCAAAGATAGAGCTGGTATCGTCGTCTTGGCAGCGGGTATTATTAATGACATTCTGGGTTGGATTTTATTGGCTCTGAGTGTCATTTTGTCTAACTCTGAATCTGATCCCGTAAATACCGTTTACATTTTACTGTGTACATTTGGCTGGTTCCTATTGTACTTTTATCCATTAAAATATTTCCTAAGATGGGCACTAATCAAAGCCAATGAATTGGATAGACCTACTCCTTCCCCATTCGCAACTATGTGTATATTATTTTTAATGTTCATCTCGGCTTATTTTACAGATATTATTGGAGTTCATCCAATTTTTGGTGCCTTTATTGCAGGTTTAATAGTACCAAGAGACAATAATTATGTTGTAAAACTGGCTGAAAGAATGGAGGATATTCCAAACATTGTACTAATTCCAATTTATTTCGCCGTTGCAGGTTTGAACGTCGATTTAACTTTACTAAATGAAGGTAGGGATTGGGGTTATGTTTTTGCATCAATTGGTGTTGCTATTTCTGCAAAAGTTGTCTCAGGTACAGCTGTTGCTAAATTACACGGTTTGTACTTCAGAGAAGCTGCTGCAGTTGGTATTCTTATGTCATGTAAAGGTATTGTTGAAATCGTCGTTTTAACTGTTGGTTATAATGCAGGCATTATTAGCAGAAAAATATTTGGTATGTTCATTCTAATGGCTTTAGTTTCCACATTTGTTACTACACCTTTGACACAATTGGTGTATACAGATGAGTATAGAAAAAAGATTCAACAAAAAATAAACAAAAATACAGATAGTGACAATGAAAAATCCCTTTTCGAAAGCGAGGATGTGATAATAGAAGATTCAGAAGTACATTCCTTGGAAAAGTTTGAACAAATACGTACTTTTTACCCATCTGAAGTTATCACTATAATTAATTCAGTTGATTCTATCCCACCGAATTTAGAATTATTAGATCTACTGATCAGTGGGAGATCGTGTTCTATGAAATCCATACATAATACACAGGAAAATATGGTTAGTAGAAAATCTAGTGTCTCAACGTTAAAATCAAGATCAAATAGAATCAAAAAGTTCTTGTCACCGCATAAAGAAGAAATGGAACTTTCAATGGCTACTATTGCAGAAGCTCCTTCTAGTTTTGATGCTATTATACCTTTAAAGGCGGTGCATCTTAGAATGTTAACGGAAAGAACAGCAGATCTGTTACAGTCATCGGCTTACTATAATGATGACCCACAATTTACTGCTAGTACAGATTCTGTTCTGCAAATTTTTGATATATTCTCAAGAATCAGTAAGCTTCCCTTTTCTAGTGATGTGATATTCTCAACAGTTAGAGAAAAGGCAACAAATATTGTCTCTATGGATTATAATGAGACGGATGTGATACTCATTTCATTGAAGGGAATTATGTTAATGGGGAAAAATAATTTGGTATTAAATGATGAATATTCATCTTTTGATGGCATATATTCTCACATATTAGGTGTAAATGAGTTATCCTCCTCTTTTTTCCAAACAATCGCAGCATCCTTAAAGGCCCATTTTCTTTTGCATATTACAAACTCAAGCGGAAAGCTTGTAGTGGATAGATTTAAGATAAAGAGTTTTAATTTACTTCTTCCAAATCCAAATCTATCATCGTCAGATTATTTTGCTATACATACATTGATTGCCATTTGCTATGGAGAACTTCGTAATGGACATTCATTGCATGCGACAATATTTGTGAATAGCAAGAATGCAGAATTATCGAATATGTTACGTGATTTATTTTCTAATGATGACTGGCTAGATATTTCAATTTTAAATATCGTTACAATTGACACAACCTTATCAGAAACTTCAGAATCAAGCTCTTTTATTGATTCTGTTATGGATAGTGGTCTAATTAATAAGTACGACATTGAAGAAAGTACTTTTATAATTCCTGAACATTTGTTCTCTAAGTATGATCCTTTTAATGAAGAAGTTAAAGAGACGATATTGCATGCAGCTAATAAGAAATTCAATGTTCTAGTCGCTCACTACAATTATCATAATACGAATTTTAAAAAAAGTGAGTCGATATCTTGATCAGATTCATAATTTTACATTTTTTATACATAATAATAATTATAATGTATATATATGAATTTATATATGTTAATACTTCTATCTTAATCATTTTTCTAGCTCATTCATTTTTCGTTCTTGCGATGGGACCCGTAATTCTGATGAATTCAATTTATCGTTGGATTTAATGAATTTCGCCAATTTTGTCTTCTTGAAGTCGAATAAATTATTAACCTTACTGAATGGGTGTGACAATAATTTATCAGCAGTTGGTCTTTTCTCTGGGTCTATTTCAAAACAACAATCTAAAAATTCTTTTGCATTTTCGGATATTAAAGGTAAGGTATCTTCCGGAATTGGTGGCGCACTTTTTGCTTGGCCAATTTTAAACATAGCAGCCACAACCTCGAAGTTTGACCAAGGTCTTTTCCCTGCAAACATTTCCAGAACAATGCAGCCCAGTGACCATATATCGACCTTAGCACTGTATCCTTGTTTAGTATCGACCATTTCTGGAGCCATCCAAAATACAGTCCCTTTCATAGTCATTTCAGAATTGGAATATATATCGTTAGATTTTCTTGAAATGCCAAAGTCACTGATTTTACAAACACCGTCTTGGTCAAGTAGTAAATTGTCAGCTTTCATATCCCTATGCAGTATACCTCTAGAATGTAGATATGAAAGCCCTTGTAGAACTTGTATTGTTAAATGTCGTATTAGAATATCGTCGAATCTGCCGTACATACGAATTAATGAACCAACAGATCCACCGGCCACATATTCTAAGAATAAGCTGTAAATACCATTTTTTGCTTCAAATCCTAAATATTGCACAATATTTAAGTGATCCAGGTCTTTTAGGGTTGACACCTCTAACCTCAATGCATCCACTGTATTGACGACTGTCTCATTTTGCAAACCATATTTAGGGACTTCTACTTGTTTAACCGCCATCATTTCACCAGTTGTGATATTCATTGCAAGAAAAACAGCACCAAAAGAACCTTTACCTATCATTTCACCTTTCATCCAAGCAAATTCATTGTATTCACCTTTTGAATTTTTGGACTTATTAATTGGAACAGGCTGTTTGTCAGTGACTTCAAAGATTCTAGTTCCCCACATCTTTGTATTATGTCTTTTTAACTTTCTAGACTCCTTTCTGGCCTTACTTGCTTCATGTGCAATAGTTCTGATAGTTTTGGTACGTTTTAGTAATTTTGGAGAGGCTGTCATGTCCTTCAAATTGGTTCCAACATTCTTTTTGGGGTCTACTTTTAAAGTTGGCACATCTTTAGTAGGCGAAACTACCCTACTAGTAGCAGACGTATGAACAGATGCCATAAATGCACCAGCAATTATTTTTTGGTTTGGAGATGTTGGAGGTGTTACACCTTCTAAAACAGGTTTGTCTAAATTTGCACTTGGGAAAAACTTCTCCAGATTACTATAAACCTCTTCTGGAGATGGTCTCAAAGTCATTTTTCTAGCAAGTCCGTTTGGCGTTGAACCTTCTAATTGATCTAAAATAATATTGTCATCTTCATTCCGAGAGTCGTTAGATTTTTTGCTTTTATTATCTTCAGCAGCTTTCTTAGGTGCTGCTGTTGACCAAATAATATCGCCTGATGAATCAGAGCTTTCTCCATCAAGGTCATCAAAATCGCCATTGTTCTTTTCATTTAACCAGATTATTTCGTCAAAGGACCCATTAGATTCACTATCAGATAATTGTGGGGCGTCAGCAAATGTTATATTATTTTCTTCAAAGATGTCAGCTGCAGATGCTGAAGATACGATTCTCTTCGAACTGCCTCTCTTCAATAAAGATGGTCTGTTGCTCAAAACAGAAGAAATTGAATTTGCCCTATACGATCTTTTCGCCTTTAAATCTGCTAAAACAGTACTCTCAACAAATTCATCAACTCTCGAATGCTTACGGGATGATTCTGAAGCACCCTTGTACGGTTGGGGAACTAACACTTGGGTGGAACCTGGTGTGTAAGAAGAAATGGCCGTTTCTGAACTTATTACTGATTTTTTATCAGAGTTTTTGCTTGAATTGGACGGAGATTTTGATAAAGTATTTTTGCGATTCATTTGGGTTCCACTTCTTTTCAATTTTAGTGAAGGCACTCTAGATGAAGAATTTCCTTTTGGCGGAGATTTTGTTGGAGCTTTAGGCGCCTCTCTCTTTGGCTCTAGCTCAATTTGAGCCCTAGTGATATTAATACTTTTATGTAATTCGATTTCACTAGATGCACCTTTATAATAAATTAAAGAACTTGTATCTTGTTCGGGAGATGAAATATATGAAGCATTGATATCAGGTACTGGATGTTTTGATGATGATTTTGATATCAATTTAGGTAATATATTTTCATCTGGTGTTTTTTCTTTAAGATTCCAATAGTTTCTTTCCTCATTAGCTGAGTTGGCGGGAGATAGATCATAATAATTGCTAGGTGTTTGTGGGTATCTACGTTGATCGTCTAAGGATGTGGTTTCTGGAGAGGTGGTAATAGTAGAGGCTTGGTCTAGATATGCTGCACTGCTGTTTGTGATTGATTTGACAGATGCCTTACTTTTTAAAGATTTGACTGAGATGCTCTGTTCGGTAGTAGGAGGTGGGACATGCGTTAGACCTAGTTTTGATATTCCTTTTATGTAAAATTTGAATTGCATCAATAACTTTGGATCTGTGATCATGTCGTTTAGAATATCATCAGGTAGAACATCTCCAAACGTGCAATTAAAGTCTGTTATGTGTACGGATAACGATGAAAGAGTCATATCTAAAGTTGATGATATTCTTTCTTTTAATTCATTAACAGAATTGATATTGCCAATATCCATATGCTTGAACCATATATTGTCTTGGGATAATAAAATACTGTTATCAGCAGACGTTTCATCTTTGCCCTTAGTCGGATAGTATTTACTATCAAATTTATGCTCAAGTTGTAACGTAGAAGTATCAGTGATTAATTCTAACGAAACAACGTCTTCCTTCTTCAGATCTGTCTCCAAATTAGTAACTTCTGATTGTATTCTTGTTGTGTCTTGATTTGAACTCATGGAATCAATTACTTCAGTCATAAATTCCGCTCCAGAATCTGTTACTGGAGATATATTTTGACTCCTTCGTTTGATTTTATCCCAAATCTTTGTTTTATCATCTAATTGACTTGGATTTGAATTAGAGGTCTTTGGTGGGTATTTTATCCGACATATTGTATCAATCGATGAATCCCTTGAATGGTTGACAGCTCTTGATGGTGCTTGTTCTGTTGCCGCCGAAGATGGAGTATTCCCATTCGTTGATGTTGATCCAAAAAGAAAATTCAGCAGAGATGATTCAGAAGAGTTGCTCTTTTGATGGCGTCTGAAAATGCTTGGGGAAAGTGGAGGAGAGGTGGATGGTATCTCAGATATAGTCTTTCCATTTCCATTTGAAGTATTTTGGGAGGGAATATTTAATTTGATATTTGTAGAAGGGCTTTTTTGATACGTGCTTCCAGTTGCAGCAGACCTTAATGAAATAAAACTCCTTCTGTATAAGGAACTAGTACTTTTTGTTTTCTTATGACTATTGACATGCTTATTCATTTTGTCTTTAGATTTTGTACTAGTTGAATCTTTTTCGACCATCGTCGAGTCAGAAGATGATCTAGCTGTTGGTATATCTTCTAAGGATCGGTTATTTGAAATTCGGACTTTGCTTGATTCACTAGCTGTACGAAGTACTTTAGTTTTATCTGGCATTCTACTTCGACTATGATGATGTAATACATTTTTACTCATTGTATCCTTTAATAATTGTTGAAATCGAGGGTAAGTAGCATTTTTGGTCGACGGCAAATATTTCTCAAAGGCTATAAAATTATCATAAGCCAGTAATTTAATAAATTTTTGACCATGAATCTGATGTCTTTCAAAAAATTTAATCCAACTATCAGGGAACTCATAAAATTTAAACCATGACACAATTCTATCCATTGTCCATTCTGCAGGATCTGTTGGATCCCAAGGCAATATCATATTTTCAAAGGATAAGCTATTAACACTGCCACTACCAGCAGATGATGTTCTTGAATTCATAGTATTTAAAGTGTTCCCTTCGTATGATTTAAGTGAGACTTCAGGATGCAAATTATTAATATTATCCATTTGGTCGGTATTATTCTTTTCATTATGTAGACGAAATGGATTATTAGATGATTGGGTTGTTGTTGTAGATGATGGAATAGGACTATCCAATGATTTTTTGTATTCATGACTATTTTTACCATTTCCATTAACTGAAATATATGAAAATCTCTGGCTATTAGCACTAGGTGTCAAAGAAGCTGTAACTGGAGTTGATACAGAAGAGGTATGTGACGACTGGTTCCCTAATGACGGAGAATTATTACCAGTGCCATTTGTTAACTTTCTAGAGAATTGCATCTCTATATAAAAAGTTTTATACCAATTTCGACAGTTTGAAACTCAATTATATACTTTGTTTACAACTGAGGCAACTTGCTGAGTAATACAAACAGTGATTTCTTATAGATCATATTCATCAATAGCCTTAGTTATAAGATGTGATGATATCTTGATTTAATATCAAATTATGATTTCGGATATTATGTTAATATTAGCAATAATCTTTGGTTTTTTAAGAACAAGCCGTAGAAATAAGCAAAAAAAATATCTAAAAGCAATTATTTAGAGACTATGTGCAGGATATAAATTAAATTATGTAGTTGATATTCAACTATTTACTTTTATAATACTAAATATTTATAGTTGTGACGGAATGTTAGGTTAGTTCATCTTTAATTCTGAAATTCTTATTACAGTTAAGTCACCTTTGCTCTTAGCATGGCGAACTCTTCTCTGTCTTTGTTTAGTAATTTCTCTTACTTGAAATGCACGTTTTGTTTTCTCCACAATTGTAGCACGTAAAGTATACAATGATGGGTCAATTGGGTAATCTATTAACTTATAGTTTCTTGAACCGATAGTAGTAACATCATTCAAGACCAAAGTATCACCAACTTCTGCGGCTTTTACTTTGTACGGCAACGTTACTATATCACCTTTAGTAACTAGATATGGACGGTTATGAACTTTGAAGACAGCATAAAGTTCATTTGATAACTTTAAATTAGATAAATTTTCCTTAATTAATGATGTCTCTTGACGTAAAAATGATGAGGTGTGGAAATTTTTCAAATTGCAAAATGAACCTCCTGTTCTGGAGATCAATGAAGCTCTGCTAGGGTTCACCAACCCGATAATATTTTTAAACATTTCTCAGTAACCGATCAAACCTTATTGACCTATTCTAGATCCAATTGCAAACCTTTTAAATACTTATTCTTTCCCACCTTTAAATCTCTTCTTCTTATGCTGTTTCGATATCAAATTAATTCGATATTTCAAATATTTCACAATTTCAAATCTTAGGCTAACTCAGATCACGTGCTATAGATTTTAATATCATATGATATAATAAGGGTAACTACTTCTTGTTCATCTTGCTATTTCGTAGTGTTATTGTGAAGAACAACTGGGGAAATACAAAATCTGCCTATTCTAAGATAATTGAGTTATATGTGGTTTAAATTTCAGTAGTAGTTCGATGATTTGGTGTTGGTAAGTTCAATGTACTTTCAAATATTCGATAAACTTGAGGCCAATATATATTTGTATGTATATCATTGTCAACGACGTAATGATAATATAGAGTTTACTACACTATATAAAATGAATGATTCTTAATAATACAAGCCAGAATCATGTCAAACCTGTTAGAGATCTTGATCTTAGCCATATTTCTATTGTGATTGTATCTATATGAATATCTTAAAGGGGGCTGTTAGAGCTGCCCGTTTTTTTTATTTTGGAAACCTCTAGTTAGAAAAAAAATTAATGACAGTAAAAGAAATACAGTCACTAACCGGCTAGAATATAATTTATATAAATCTGGTGATTTGTTAAACACTTATATATCAATGCATTCCATTTTGAGGGGTACCATTTACCTTTATTGGACGTTTTAACACGTAATAAAGGTTACATAGCTGATATGGGTGTCATTACTTCATTAGTAAATTTTAAATAGGTTTTATTGAATATTAAAATCATTAGGTACATTCAGATAAAGCGAAGTCCTAAAATATTTGGTAAAATTAGATTATTACAATTATAATAAATTTTCCAATAATTATTTGTTTGAGTTCTGATCACAAGAAGTTAACTTTTGTTTTGGTAAATTTACTTTTTGTAGTTTAAATTATATGTTCTATAAAAAATAAATTTAAATACAATTGTATCGAATATTATATTACAAAACATGTAAATTTGATGAATAAAATTGAATGTCAAAATCTATTATATAGTTTTATATGATCGAAACGAAAATAATTTGCAGAAATGTTTCGTTTCATTAAAGAAATAACGAAAAAATTATGAGTATTAATCATTGTTATTAGAATCGTTATCGTTAGAATTACCATGCTGTCTATTGTAGTTAACCATCTCTATAAGCCTATTTTGTTCATTTTCATCCCATGCTAAATTATCTTTACTAGATGACCTGAACAAAGAGCAACCAGGTACTTCATCTTCGTAATAATCTACATCATTTTCGTGCTCTTCAGGATCTTTATATTCCAATTCTTCTCCTTTACCATCTTCATTTTCTTTAGAAGTCTCTTCTTTTTCATTATCTATAAGTTCCTTATGTGATGGTATTGGTGATATAACATTGTTATATAAAGGGTGATTAGGTTTGGCGTATGATTGGCCATCATCGTTTGGGTCCATATAATCATCATCTTCGGCATTTAACTGAAACTGGTGACGATATACATCTTCGCTAGTGTCTTTTGAACTCAATTGACCTAAATCATTATCTACTGGAAAAAGTGAAGCTCTACTAGCATCCCAATTTATATCAATCTTATCTTCAAACTGGGGGTATTGATTTTCTCTTGCCAAGTAAAACTGATCTTCATCATCTTCATCATAATTCTCATTATCATTAGATTTTTCTTTATCTTGATTATCACTAATTTCATCGAAATTTTCATTTTCATTTATTTTTCTGCCCAATTGGTGAGACATATAATCACTAAATCTGTTTCCGTCCTCTTCCTCTATCTTTTCTTGAAACGCCTTTTCATTATCTCTCATAGCAAAATCATACCCTATAAAAGGGTTCAAGTTTAGTCTAGTACTATTTCCATCTGCATCAATATATTCATAATATTGAGAATTATCAATATCATTATATTCAGCATAATACTCGTCACCTTCTTCAGTGTTTTCAGATTGTTCATAGTTATGGGTACCCCATTAATATTATTGCTTTGGTTATCGAATGACATCGGATTATAAGTAGCATGTGTGCTTTCCTCCCCAACGACGTCATCATTCGAGTCTGGGTCATTTGACTCATCATCTTGATCAGCCTTATCATCATCATTATCAACATCATCCTCATCACCAAAATCTCCTAATACCGTGTTATATTTTTCTCTGGTTTCAGCCAATACAGTTTCAGTATATTCTTTCCAAACTGGCTCATTTAATACATTCCAAATTGTTTCATCGAAAAATTCCATTTTCATTTCTTCTAGATATACAGTAAATTTAGCAATCTCCTCAGCAATTAACGTTAGATGACCCATGTAACCAAGTCTCAATCCAGTTTCCTTTTCATAGTCTGCACATTTTTTCTCACCATCCATAATCATTGTAGTTATCTTTGCACCAGTCAATAAATTTGATAATAGGTATCTATTGAAACCAGTCTTCAAAGGACCATTAACAACCTGTTGAACAATATCAAATACAACGTTGTGCAAAAAGTTATTCCATGCAAAATGAAAGAACATTTCCAAAATTTTTGAAACAATTTGTGTATCTTGAAGGACTATCTTTAACTGGTCACCAACCACTGGTGATTTTCTTAAGGCTTCTTCTGATGCTTCAATTAAAGAATCATGAGAACGTGCGTCACTATTGTTACTACTTTGTTCGTCATTGTTATTTGTTTCTTCGTTTTTAACATTAATATCATTTTCAGCAAGCTCTTCATCAGTAGAAGACGTGTCTGATTCTAGTTTCAAGTCATCAAGTTTCTTTTCAATAACTTCTGATTGAGAACCACCTTCAAGCTTTTGTAATTTATTTAAAGCCAAAATATGCTCTCTTTCTAGATCACGTTCATGGACTATCTCTTCACCAGTAGGTTCATTCAAAAGAGCCATATTCGAACAATGTAATAACTCTGCAACCAATTCACAGATTTTAAATCTTTCAAAACCAAGTGGCTCTATTGATCCAAAAGGTGTACTTAGTTGAGGCAAAGTAGTAGAGGTTAACATATCACAGAAATCTGGCATATATTGTGCAAATAATTTAACTAGATGACCCAAATAGATCGGATCTCTATCATTTGGTGGATGTGTTTCTAAGGTTGTGTACATCACTTGTACAAAATCGTAGTCTGAATTATTTTTTCTAATCAGTTCAATGATAATGCCTACACCATTGTTCAACGATGTGCCTCCTTTCAGCATAATTTTAATCAACTTTTCCATAATAGTTGGGGAAACCAGTTCTCTGGTAAGCTCATTTGGACCAATACCTGATGCAATTTCATTATTCGAATTTGCACTAATTGTCACATAAGCCTTTAAGAAGTCACCAGCTGCAGATTGAGTTGAAGTGCTATATTCAGGATTCAATTTATCTATCAATTTTGAAATAAAATCCTGTTCTTTCAACTTTTCAATTATGCCAGTAGGTGTATCAGGTTTATCTGTCGATATTACCTTCAACAAGAAGTCCATTAAAGGTGGATTATCAATATGGGTTAAAAATCTATCAACTAAATTATCTTGACTTAAGATAAATTGTAACATGCCGGTGATATCCATATCCAATAAACGTTCGCTTATTTTCATGAAATAAGTTGATGCAATAATTGATAATGGGGCAGAATGATCCATTATGGACCATAGTCTTGATAAAAGGATATTACTTTCCATAATAGCTGAAGAAATTGGCCATACATCGGCTGACAAAATTTCTGCAGCCATTCTAGCTCTTCTTAATTCTACCTGTTCTTCAAGTTCTGGCGGTATGGTGACACTAGTTTCTTGAGATAGCTGTGATCTTGTATCGTCGTATTCATCGTCTCCATCTTCAGCAGAATCATCTTTTGTAACCAATATATCCACTTTATTATTTAAATTTGAAGTATTAGACTCTTCATCGGCATCTTCTAGATTGCTATTGTTATAGTTCTCATTATTATATTCTTTCCCATCAGCCTCTTCTTCGTCTCCCACTATATTCTGACTTGCAGTATGGTCGACACTTTCTTTCAATAGTATTTCATCACTTTTTTCATCCAAGATATCTTTATTTGTGACATAATCTATAAGTTTTGACAATACTTCTGGATATTTCAAATATATCAATAATTTAAAGTTTGAACACATCAGTTCAGTGTATAATTCGTCATCATCTAACAAATCATCTAATACATCTAAATTTGGTTTGTAGTTCATGAATTCTGCCTCTGAATTAGGCAATGAATGTTCATTTTTCGTTTGATCCAGATCTTCATTATTTACATTTTCATGTGCCAAATTAGTGTTTTTCAATTTTTCATCCTCATCATCCTCATCATCTTCATCTGATGATACAGTTTCTTGTAGAGTATTTCCATTTTCGACATTGCCATCCTCGTCTGTATCTTTGTTAAGATTATGCTCATTATTACTGATGTTATTATTACTATCGTTATTACTGTTACTACTAATGTTATTATTAGTATTGATGCTGTTATTATTATTATTATTATTATTATTATTATTATTATTACTGATGCTGTTGTTTTTGTTGTTATTATTATTACTATTATTACTATTATTACTATTATTATTATTGATGTTACTATTACTGGTACCACTATTAGTGTTATCGGCCGTGCTGTTATTATCCTTTTTAATGAAGGCACTGTTCAGTATCTTTGAAATTGAAGATTCCGAAGAAAAATCTTGACCAAATTTCCAAAATGAACTCGACATAATTTAATCAATCTGTGCAAAAAATGTATATTATAGAATCGGCAAATATTCCTTAGTATATATATTTCCTCTTCCAAACAATGCAGTAGCTATAAGTACAAAAAGAAAAGAAACTTCTTGTCTCCTTCTCTCTTTTTTTTAATAACACAAAGGTACTCTGTCAACTAGTTTGAATCTTTGAAATAAAAATAATTTCCAAGTTCTAGCCCAACAAACGTAAAACCTAGACTCGTTTTCTATTCCGGGATCAGACCTGATATTCCCAAATATTAATCTCAGCTAAAACAGACACCAAAACCTGTTTTTCTTGTATCAACAAAACTGAATTTGAAGTTGAAAATGAAAATGAATTTAAAATCTATCAAATGATGTTCAGCAAAAATTGGCTAGTTCTATTGCTATAACAAATGAAATGAAAATGAAAGGTTGGAAGAAAAAAAATAATTTTAGATATAATATAGTAAACTGCAAAGGCAAAGCCAAAAAAACAACAAAGCTATCAGTGAAAATAAAAAATAATTGTAACGACTAGTTCCAAATTGGAAGCTGTTTTTCTCTTTCTTCTTGCACAACAACCACCCAACTTCCTTAAAGCCTAAGTCGAGTCGAGTCAAGTCAAACTAAATCTAAATTACCAGAGAATTCTAAATCGAAATCTAAAAATCGAAATCAAAAATAAAATCAATTTATAAAAATGCAAACAAAAATTATTGATATGATACTATATAATAAGTAGAATCTGAATTTATCATCTAAAAACTAATCCTTTTCCCATCTCATTAGAATAACTTCTTTGAATTTGAACTAAGTATTGGATTGTTCTCTTGATAGATGATGATGATGATGATGGATGGTTTTTTGAAAAACTTTCACTTTTCCTCAACGAACGAAAATTTTTGTTGCGAGCGGAAAATAGTGTGAGTTTGGGTCGGGAGTCCGGGTAAATTTCGGGTAAGTTAGTTTTGGTTGTTTGGTTCATTGGATGGATGGGTGAATATAGATAGAAAGAAGTAGGGATAGACGGAAGTTTGGATCTGTATGGATAAATGTCGTGGGATCTGGTTGCTATTGGATTGGATTCGGAAAGCTCTGCTGGTCGATGTATCGTTTTTGAACTTGGCAATGTCAGAGTTTGAATTTTTCCTGGAGCTAGCAGTGGGGAAATGTAATGTGCCCGTAATTAAAAAATCCTTTAATAAGAAGAAGTAAAATTAATGTGTATTGTACTTAATCTGTTATCATCTCTGATACCCATTCTAACATTGTTTCTACTTTTGTGATTATGCCGGATTCGATGTCAGGTAGTAATGTAATTCTATTCCTTATAATGTTGATTCCAACCGTAGAACATAGTTTAAATAATACCTGATAATTGAAAATTTGGAAGTTGTCGTAAAATCTGGTGTCGTATGCTATCTTCTTCACTAACAAGTCTAGAAGTATGTTGTAATCCATTAAGATTTTGTCATGCAGGAGATTTGATTTCAGATATAGATTTAACAAATTTTGACAACTTACCACATCAAATCTTGCCGATAGACTAGTCCTCAACGATGTGATGCTGTCGTTCCAATACCATGTCCGCATCTGTGTTAGTCCTAACAGTTCCCATTCCAACCCAGATAGTTTTGTCGAGTTGGATTCCTCGCTCTGGTAATTAGAGGTTATCCCCAGATCTCCGTACAGATCGAGGAATAGTTGATCTAACCACGGCTCACATAGTTTTTTCCTTTTGAATTCTAATGGGATTACATTCTTGTCGGTGGACATTGGGTATTTTTTGGAAATTTCAAAATATTCCTTCTCCATCAGGAAAATGTCAGATCTTAATTTCAAAAGGTCATTCCAACCAATTGTTGTGATAATCTTCAACAGAATGTCGTAAACTTTTAATTGAAATGAAGATAATTTACTTGCAGTTGTGTTCCTTTTCAAAAGGTTTAGATCTTTGATAGAATTTATTTCATTTCTACTGACAAATTCAGTTAAATTTGAAGAATTTAAACCGTAAATTTGACCTAATTTTAAACATGAACCGTTCCAAATCTTAGTAATTCTACCAATACTTGAAAATTTAGGCATCAATGTTCTTCCAAAGAGAATCTCATCATATTTGTCTTTATTGGATGATGACGGTTTTAAATTGCGAGAACTTTTTGTATATGATTGTACGGTAATCATTTCGATTGGGTTTAAAACATTTTTCTGATCTAGTATATCAGATTGTGAAAGTAAAGAAGGTTTCAAATAATAGCAACCAACGAATATTGGTATGAAGTTAGTTGACATCAACTTTTTGTAGGTGTTTGTCATTGGTAGAAAGGGCATCGAGTTTATCGAGAATAAAGAACGTTTGAAATCGTTTAAGAAGGCATAACTAATTGCTAAATTGTACCAAGACTCGAAGGAATCTGGAGATAAACTGGTTGCTAATTTTGAAACGTTTAATGCTAGTTCGTAATCTTGTTTTCCTAAGAGGAAGTTTGATTGTAAATTCAATAAATCAATTATTGAATTAATCAATTGGAAGTTTGAATCAGATGAATTCTTTTTATTTGAGAATGACAAATTTGCTAAAGATTCTTTTAGTACTTCGTTTAAAGAGGATATGAATTCAATTTCATTAATTTCAAAATGCGAATAAATTTTTAATATGACGATATTTAAGATAAATGAATCATTGTTGGTTATGGTAGTTGAGTTCAACAAACTCTTTAAATGATTAACAGTGAAATCTATTAAAGTTGGCGAAATCGATAAAATCAATAATAGAGATTCTGTCAAATAATTATTTATAATTGAACATGAAGAATGCAATGAGTTATCGAAACCACAATCCAAATAACGATTCAAAAATTTACATAGAACAACAATAAGTTTTTCCGTTAATTTTGAATCATTTTCTATTAAGAGTGGTAACTCTAGTAAACCTGGGAATTTCAATTGAATGTCATTATTTATTATAATTGAACGAATTGACGAACATAAGAAGAATTCTTCCCATAGGTTATCGTTAAGTTTTATATTCGAGTTTTTAACATGGTTTAAATCATTGATTGTGATTGAATATTTTGTAATTGACTCAAACCTTATAATCAAATCTAGATTTGATAAAAAATTATAACAAGAGAATGTGATTATTCTTGGAGCAAAGGTCGATACTGCTGAATGTTGGATTATATTTAGTAAAGCCAAAGGCATTGATTTATCTGAGAAATCAGCGCCGGTGATATGAAAGAATTGTCCTATTTCCAACTCTGATTTTACATTAGTTGTGTTGCTGCTGCTGCTTCGATTGTTGTTGTTATTTGATAGATTAATATGAATCAAATCAGGTAATCCCAGACCGATATAGTCAGCTGAGTTTTTCTTTAGGAAATAAGTTCTTTTACCCAAAATTTCACCAAATCTTTTTTCGAACACCCTTGGGAAATCCAAGTTTTTATTTAATGCATCTGTATTTGGAATTGGAATTGTAGTTGTAGTTGTAGTTGTAGTTGCAGTATTAGTAGTTTTGTTATTGCTAATATTTTTGGTTAGTTTCGATGAACTTTTACCCCATAGATACGACGACAAAGCCATTATTGAATGGATACAAAGTGATGCATCCGTGAGTGATTGAGCGATTGCAGCCGTGGGAGTGCAGTTAACGCAATTATCAAGTCTAGAAGACAATAATGCTACAATTTGTAGTAGTAATGGCACTGTTACTGCTATGACCTATTTCAGCTGTTCCGTCAATTTTACCAAATATAAACGAACTGTCAACAGATATCATTATGGAGCCAAATGGCATTTTCTAAAAAAAAAATAAACATAAAACATACACGGTCACGTGCAAAACAACAAACACGTGAACATCACCTGATAGAACCGTTTTCCACATGGTCATGTGATATTCACCTTTACACTCACATTTCACATTCACACTCAGACTCGAACCACAGTTTCCACTCCCATTTCCATTTTGTGTTTTTGTTCTTTTTTTTTGCTCCTCTTGCTGTCTTTTTTGCTTACCACTCTTCTCTCCCCCCTTCCTCCTCTTGTTGTTCCCAAAATAGCCACCCCGACCGCTTCTTGTCAAAAAACACAGTTTTAATTGTTTTCGAAGACACCTCTACACCGCACGACAGCAAATATCCCAACCACTAGAGTGTCAAACCATACAGCCAAAACTCAGTTTGCTCTTAATCAATTTTTGCTTACTAAGATTTTTGACAAATTTTGTTTCGAAACTTTTTCAATTACTATACATGTACATACCTAATGTCATACCATACTATAATATACTATGGTATACTTAATACTATTATATACTATTATATACTATGCCATACTATGCATTACTACACTATACTATGCTGTGCTAATTGCAATATTACACTATGTTCACGTTACGCTGTCGCCATTTTCATCATCACCATCTTAACCTTCACTTTTACCTTTAACAATGCTTGTTATATATAAACGAAATACAATCAGAATTCGTTCATTCTACATGACTATGGTCTTTACACATCCGTGTTTGTTCTTTTAATTCATACCCACCTCATCAGTCAATTGATTCGAATTCGAAGTCGTAAACCTTTTCTGTCGTCCTTCTATAATGGGTCTGCTGGCTTTGGGTACTCCTCTATCTTGGGATGATTCAAAGAAGTATAACGATTTCATAAGAATCAATGGTATCAAACATCTTCTTTCCGTGTTCCATAACTGCTCTAACAGAACTAATGACCCGCTACTATGGGGTGATGAAGTAGAGTACATGATTGTTAAATTTAACTATTCAGATAAAACTGCTAAATTAGATATCTCAAACGATAACATATTGAATCTGCTAAATGATGAGAAAAATTATTTGAACGATTGTAATGAAAGGAACATTCATTTCCATCCAGAATACGGCAGATTCATGCTGGAAGCAACTCCATTGTCACCTTACTTCAATTATAACGGAGATAACTATATAGAGTTTAATATGATTCAGAGAAGAATATTGGCTGATAACATCTTGAAAGATTTAAATGCAGATGATGTGAAAACTCAATCTCACAAATTGGTAACAATTACAAGTTTCCCAAGATTAGGTTCAAAAAATTTCACTACCGTCGACGACTCTCAATTGTGGAATCATAAAAACAATTACTCCCGTTCGTTGTTCTTACCAGATGAAATAATAAACAGACACATAAGATTCCCAACTCTGACTGCCAATATCAGATCAAGAAGAGGCGAAAAAGTAGCAATTAATATCCCAATGTATCAAGATTTGAAAACGCCAAAAATGGACGATACCATAGATTTCAATAGAAATTGGTTCCAGAATGAAGATAAAGAAGCAGAATTTGCTTCTATGGAAAAATTCATTTACATGGACTCAATGGGTTTTGGTATGGGTTGTTCTTGTCTGCAACTGACTTTCCAAGCGCCATCTTTACCAATGTCAAGATACTTGTATGATTCGTTGATCAATCTTTGCCCAGTCATGCTATCCGTCTCTTCCGCTGCTCCTTTCTTCAAAGGTTGGTTAGCTGACCAAGATGTAAGATGGAACGTCATCTCAGGCTCCACAGATGATAGAGCCCCTTACGAAAGAAACGTACCTTCGTTATTAAAAAATTCAAACCAATACGGTGGTATTGATCCAAAAGAATTTGAAAATACAAAGCATTTGCCAAAAGCAAGATACTCGACAGTAGATTTATTCTTGGGTGGAAATGACTTCTTCAACAGATCTTACAACGATACAAACGTACCTTTAAATGATACCATCTTAGAACAATTATTGGAAAATGATACCTACCCAATGGATTACGACATGGCTAAACATTTCGCTCATTTATTTATTAGAGATCCTCTTGTTATCTTCGAAGAGAATTTAACTTTCGATGAAAACAAAGATTTCGACGTTTTACAAAATCATTTCGAAAATATCCAAAGTACAAATTGGCAGACCTTAAGATTCAAACCCCCAACTGATAGATTTTCTACCGATTCTTCTTCCCCAGGTTGGAGAGTAGAATTTAGACCTTTGGAAGTGCAATTATCAGATTTTGAGAATGCTGCATACTCAGTTTTCATCTATTTATTGGCAGAATCAATCTTAAAATCAAGCAACAAACTAAATCCATATATCCAGATGTCAAAAGTTTGGGAAAATATGGATTTGGCTCATAAAAGAGATTCTACTTCAACTGAGAAATTTCATTGGAAAGATTCTTTCGAAGACTCGATTTCAACTACAAGTTCTTTATACTCAATTGATGAAATTTTCCATAATAAAGACAACGGTATCTTTAATGTATATATAAATCCAATCTTAATCAAAAAGGGTTTCGTAGAGTCAGATTGGAAAGAATTGAAATATTCTGAAGATAAGCAAAGATTATACTACTATCTAAAATTGATTTCAGATAGGTCAAGTGGGAAAATACCTACTACTGCCAGATACATGAGAGACTTCGTACTAAGACATCCAGATTATAAACAGGATTCAAAGATTTCAGAACTAATAAATTACGATCTTCTGATGATGTGCGATAGAATTGCATCGTTAGATGATTCAAACGGAGAATTATCTTCTTATTTCGGGACAGAATTGGTAGACTACTTACAAAATAATAAAATTGTCGTGTGAATAACTAAATCTCATTACCATCTTTTAATATTATAGATTTCCATCTTTGATTTTATTTTAATACTTTCAATAATTAATGTTTTATTTACAAGATTCTAATTTTTAAATATGAACTAAAAATATACATATAAGAATATCCATACATACATTAATACAACTGCAACTACAGAAGTTACATGTTACATTTATTTACCCTTGTAAAACGTCATCCAATCTTTCAGGTGTAACTTTCTTCATACCATGATAATTCATATAAACCATTCCTCTACCTTCAGTCAAACTACGTAACTTGTTAGAATATGAAACCATTTCCTTTAATGGAGCTTCCGCCTTTATAACCTTACATCTATCTCCCCCATTATCTAGTTTTGCCAAATTTAATGTGATATCAGGTGGTAAATATTGACTATCAACAATATCTTTGAAGTTTAAAGTCGATCTTTCATTGTTATAATCCAATCCATGCTCGTCTTCAATTGATAATATATTTGCTTTATGATGCCCTGTTAAATCTTGGATGACTTCACCCATAAACTTCTGGTTAACAACAATTTCAACATCCATAATCGGTTCTAACAGGGAATATGAACTTTCATGAAGGGCTTGTAAGCTTTTAATTATTAATTTTCTTGTTATATTTAGAATTTCATTCGATGATGTTGCATCATATGGGACTTCAAAATCACCTTTTATTCTTACCGCACAAGAATGAAGTGCATAACCACCTATTTTACCTCCCCTCTGAAATGATGCTAAACAACTTGATTTGATCGTATTAATGACCACATCGTATGGAATCTGGTGTTTCCAAACCGCTCCAAGACCTGGTTTATTGCTTTTCTCAAATATTAAATAATTGTTGTCCACACCTAAGGGATACCATGCCTCGGTTGCAGTATCCTTGTCTACTCTAACTTCTTCACCTTCTAATGGCTCTATTTGAATTGTGAACTTGTATCCAATATCATCTTGGTATATTACAGGATTAGTTGTACTATTAATTGTTTCTTTGTATGAAATCATTAATTTGCCGATTCCTACTTCTGCCTTTAGATCGTTCAATAGCTTATCTCTTGCAATTTCCAAGTGTAACTCACCCATTCCACTTAGCAAGGTTTGGCTAGTTTCCTCATCTTGAGAAACATGGAGACTCGGGTCTTCTGTTACCAAAATTTTCAGAGCCGCTTCCATTGCCTTACGATTCCCAAGTGTCTTGGGTTCAATATAAACACTAAAAACTGGAGGAGGAATTATAATAGGATTTATTTTCAAATTTAAATTTCCCTTTCTTTCAATCGATTTCAAACCATCCTTTACCATAGAATGACTTATTAATGTATCACCTGTTTCGATCCTTCCAAAAACTGTGCTTCCAGTTAAAACACCAATTTCACCTGCTGACAATGATTGAACATCTTCTGTTTTATTCGCATGCATAATTACAGGTTTATTGATTTTGAAAGTTTTTCCATTCGTGGAATTATAAACAGAATGTCCATTTTTTAAAGTACCGCTATAAACCCTAACAAAGACCAATTGTCCTCTTATCTCATCGGTTATAACTTTAAAGGCAAATGCGACACAAATTTCAGAATTATTATCAAATAAAAGCCCTTTTCTTTTATCATAACTAATAGGAATATCTTCGTTCAACTCTGGAAACTTGGCTTCCAATGGTGACGGCAAGTAATTGACTACTGCATCCAATAAAGGTTGAACACCGATATTTCTAAACGAGGAACCACATAGAATAGGTGTAATATCTTGTGATAAGGTACTCTTACGAATTGAACTGTTCAAAATAGTTGGGGAGACCTTTAAGTAATCACCTTCAGCATCCTCCAAGAAATGTTCTACCAAATTTTCATCAAATTCACTTAAGGTTTCTACCATTGCTTCTCTGGCCTTCGTTAGTTCATCCAGTAAGCTAGAATCAAACTTATCAATGTCAGCGATGTCGACCTTATTTACGTCAGTAGAGTCCCATCTCAGAGCTTTCATATTAACTACATCAAGCACACCCTCAAATACTTGTTCATTTGTTACCGGATCCAACTTGAATAGAGGCATATTTGCCAGAACAACTCGCTGATTCATTTTAATCATCAGTTCTTTTACAGTTCTACTATATCCAGAGCCTACTCTATCCATCTTATTTATATAACAGATCTTTGGGATACCATAAGATTGTTTCCAAACTTTTTCTGTCTGTGCTTCCACACCAGCAACTGCATCTAAAATAGTAACACAACCATCCAGCACTTTTAAAGATTTAATTACTTCAAAAGTAAAATCTACATGCCCAGGAGTATCAATTAAATTAATCCTATGATCGTTTTGCCAATTGAATGAAATTGCTGCACTTTGAATAGTGATCCCTCTACTCCGCTCCTGAGGCAAGTAATCAGTAACAGTATCCCCTTGATCTACATTACCTATTCTATTAGTTTTACCAGAATAATACAACATACGTTCTGTAGTGGTAGTCTTACCAGCATCGATATGTGCAATAATACCAATATTTCGTATTTTGGACAAATCTGTCTTAGAGGCATACCCTCGCAATTGACGGATTCCAAACCCAAACATCAGTCCATGAACTACCTAAAACAATTGATTTCGCAAACCACAGTATTGATATATTATAGAGTTCACCATCCTTAAATGACACATCGTTTTATAAACTTGGTCTCTCTGATGTCTTGGTTGTCCCATGTTCTTATAGCTTGATTCGATATCTTCACTATTAATATCAATAAATACACAACGTTAAAAATGATAATATATCACGTGCTAATTCCGAAAACGATTATTCGAAATCAACAAAACCCCAGATTTTAATAGGTGAAGGGGAATATAATAAAAGGACCTGAACAGTTATTGGATTATTGCCATCTACTAGAGCTAATAACAGACAACCGGGTATACCTATGTCAATCGTGGGTTAAACATATGATAATTCTCTGATTAATTATCTTTCCTTCTGTTAAAACTTCTTTAATTTGTTTTAGATTTCATTCGATTGACCTATTAACATTCTCATAAATTAGAGTCACCTATCAAATTGATTATAGATTAATATCTGTCATTTTGGATTATTCTGACAGTATATGGAATTGAAAAGAGTACCATATCTCAAGGACTTTGATATAACGAGAAAGAAAAAGGTACATTGTCATTGCTATGGCCCTCGAGATTGCTTAAAATAGGAAGAAACAGGAATTTTTGAATCATCAAATAATATCACCAAGTCCGAAAAGGCTTTAAAAGTTCAGGAACTTACTATAAAGAAACAGGAATTTATATAAGATTTGTTCATTTGTTAATTCGGTTGTATGTCCCCAAGGGTCTGAGTGTTATTGGTGTTGTTATCAACTTTACGTGGTGGTACAGGGTATATTATTTTTTTTTTTTGCTCGTAAAGTTCTATTTATTTATTAATTTATTTATTTCATTTCATTTGGTTTGGTTTGGTCAAACTGAGTTCTGGGGAAACTGACTATTGGGAACTTGATTATTAATATCTTACCGATTTCCTATTTTAGGCTGTTTTATTAACTTAGGTGGATTGCAGAACAGGCGTCTGGCTCGAATTTGGAATTTAGTCAAGATATAAGTTTTTTGAAGTCCGTTAAAGGGTTACTTACCTAATATTCAACGTTATCTCTAATACAATGACGAAAAAATTACCGGTAGAGAAGAAACTTTCTAGGAAACCAATATCAAGAGCTTGCGAATTTTGTCACTTGAAACATTTACAATGCGACACTGGGAGACCTTGTCAAAATTGTGTCAAGAGAAACATTGGTAAAGGCTGTAAAGATAAAGAGAGGAAAACGAAAAAAAGACAATTGAAAAATAATACTTCGAATTCCGATCTAGAAAATATTCCTAAACAAGTGAAAACTGATATTATACCTGGTCCAATAAGAATGACGCCAACGACTGCTATATACCAACAAAACAATGATTTTTCAATTAAAAAAATTCACAGTCTGACAACAATATTAAACAGCACAAATTCATTCTTAGGAACAGATTTTGTGAATACAGGGAATATTGATGATCCAAAAAATGAAATTAATAACCCACCAAGTACTTTATCAATATCTACAAATGGTTCAAACCCTGATTCGACATTTGACAGTATCTGGGCCGGGGATGAATATAAAAAATTAAATGATATTATAGGTCTGGGTAGGGCGTCTGGATTGAGTCTATCTCACCCAAATACTGAAACAGAAAAGGGAATAGTCCATGTTAATTCAATTTCTAAAATAAATTCAAGACCTTTCATATCACTTAGTATAGATTCGACTGGCGGCTCTATTGATGAATATAACTTACGTTACAGTATACCGAGTGACTCTACAAAATTTAAACAGCTGAAAATAGATACCAACGAGTCATTCTTATCTCCATATATGTTTAGGAAAGCAATAAAGACACCTAAAGAATTTCATGAGAAACGAAGTACAATACTGCCTCACAATTACAGAATTGGTTACCGTTATCTTTTAAAGACCTTACATAATATGTTTATTAACGAAACAACACTGGATGCAGAAACCTTATCTATCAGAAAGCAACAAGTTAGTTATATTGTGAAATCAATATTAGTGAAATATACTGAAAATTTCATTTCAATTTCTTCGAATATGGTAGAGGAAGATTTACTATTACAAGAACTTACTTTGCAAAGGACACTTTTAGAATTTGAAAGTATGTCAAGACTTGTACCTGCGACACCTATCGCTATATGGCGTAGAACAGGTGAAATTTGTTATATTAGTTCTGAATTTACCTCCTTAACTGGGTTCACTAAAAAGGAAGTACTCAACAAAAGAAGCTACATCTTCGAGTATATGGATCATGAATCAGTAATACACTATTTTGAAACAATATATAATAAATTGTCATTCAATATTAGCTCTAACGCAGCTAAATTTTCTAGTAGCAATAATTTTTTATTCACTAAATGTAATCTATTGTTGAATAACGGATCTTTTTTGAAATGCGTTTGTTGTTGGACTGTAACGAGAGATACATTAAAAATCCCCGTACTATTCACAGGTCATTTTATGCCAATATTTGATGTTCAATAAACGTTTGTCGAGTATGAATGGATGTCTTATCTATAATTTCTTAACTACGACAATTATATATCAAAAATTATGTAATTTATTTATCCATTCTTAATGCATTGAAATAATATTCCCTACCGAATAGTTAATCTATAAGAAATACCTTGTTAATAACCCGTATAAACCATACAACAATCACGAAGAGCTCAAGAATTGTCCTATAATATGCAAAAATAGTTGTCATCTCAAAGAACGTATAAAATATTTTGTTCTAATGAATCGTCATTATCATTATCATTTATCTGTACTTTAGATTTCCAGCCCTTTTCATTGTTTCTAATAGAATGTCTATCATCTTCACCATTAGAGCTACTGCTCATATAAACAGGCCTTTCAAAACGATTATTATACTGATCAAGATCCCAAGAAGAAGACTGTAAAACTTTCGTTTGAATTTTCTTCTCTAAATCAATTTCACTTTTCAGGTGTTTGATATGCTTCAAATCATTAATATCTTCTTCATCACTGATATTTTCCAATTCATCGTCAGAATTTGCTGGGACACTGTTTTCAGTAATCGGTGTTTCTAGTAATGTTACTTTTCCATCTTTACCAATATTCATGTTAACAACAACCTTTTCCCTTCTACCGTTTCTTTCTTTCTCTAGCTTTTCCCATTTTCTCAAGTTTCTTTGTTGTTTCTTTAACATCAGTGCTCTTTCTCTGGCATTTCCCCATAAACCTGTTTCTTCAGATATACTAAAATCACTAGCATTATCAATTATTCTTGTACGTTCTGCAGAGGTATCTTGGAAATGTAATAGTTTATTCAATCGATCTTGGGCTTGAACTAAATCTGAATCAACAACTTGTTTCATTTCTTGGGACTTCTGTTGTTCTTCCTTCTCTTGCGTTTCTTTTCTATTTTTTTCTGTTGATTTCTCAATAAACTCGAATAATTTATCTTGTTCATCGAATAGATTTGTACCCATATTTGAAGATACCTTATATGTTTTCTTCTTACTTTTTGTTTCATCTTTCGATGATCCCTGTGGTTTATTTTTGTCACCATTGATCAAAACTTCTCTTTCTTGTTTTAAAAGTTCGATAATTTTAATTCTTTCTTCTACAGGGATAAGATCTGAACCACAGAATGAACAATTATTCAAGTTCATACCTTCTCTAGCACAGATAATTTTACCACATGATAAGCAATTTGGAGCAGCATCAAATAGAGGATGTCTGTTTGCTTGACAATTGCAAGCATATTTTGAAGAGCTATCCTCATCATCACGTTCCAATTCTAATTTTTTGACAACTTCATCGATCTCTTTCAATGAATGTGCCTTTTTAGTTTTCTTTGTACCAGTAGAATCCTTCTTTGACGATTTCTTCTTATCAGGTTTAAACGATTCAGAAACTGTTTTCCCAATAGGTTTACTTACTCTAACCAATTGAGGTTGTGAATCCACATTAGCATTCGGTTTTGAATCTTCTGAAAATTGTTTCTTATCTACATCTGGCTTCATAGGCTTCTTCTTCCTAGAATCTTCATTACGATTTGCCTCCTTAATCAATTCATCGTTTTTCTTGTCACCCTCAGATAGCAATCTATTAAATTCGACAACAAAGGCAAATGCTAAATCTTCATGACCTAGCATACTTAGAAATTCATTTGCAATTAGTTCAAAATCATTATTGCTGGTGTTTAGTATTTGATCACATAAGTTTTTCACATCTTGCTCTTCTAATGGTAGAATCTCAGGTATTGCCTTTACAGCATAAGCAATAGCGTCCTTCCTTGTCATATCAATTGATCTAAAAGTGAAACAAACAAATCAAGTAAAGATATAAGTATACAATCACTCGATATCTGGGTCGCTGTATCTATTAATAAACTATGATCCTTCATTAATACTCAATAAAGTATTTCTTAAGTATGCGTGATGATTTCGATTGATTAATTTTTCACTATTTCATAATGAAGTATCGGATATTTCAAGAGATGATTTGATATACCATCGATATTGAAATAATACCAACAAGAACAAGAGCAAAGGCAGTAATAAGATACTGTTGGAGGTTCAAGTTGAGTGACAGTTTAATCATTTCATTTTTTGGAATTTACTATATAATTTAGGTCTTTAGGTTTTGGTTTTAAAGTCTCAGATAGAAGCAGATAAAGGAATGGCTCCAATTAAACGAAAGCGTGGATCAACTGCAGAGTCTGCAAAACCCAATCTACCGTTAGATACCTTACTGTTCTTAGTGGGGGACTTAGAGAATAATATTGATGCCTATCTTAATGAATATCCAGATTCAGAGGCTAGTGGTGATGAATCAGTTAACATAGATGCTATTGTGCATGACTTGCCATTGAAAGAACATGACAATAATGAAGAATATAATAATGCTACAGGAAGTGAAGAACCTTTGCCTAAAAAACAGAGAGTAATATCTGCAGAGAAAGATTCGATATTGGACGTGGCTCCACATAGTACAGTATCACAAGATGAAGAACTTATAGTTATTCCTAGAGATAGGAATAATAATATCTCTTCAGAGGAGGTTTTACCACAACCAGTGATGTCTTCTGGTGTACAAGAACAGACTGATGAGTCTCCTGTTCAAAAAAATATAATAACTGTTACCGCAGAACAAGTGGTGAATAAGGAATTCAAAGATAATTCGGAGATAACAACCGCTGCTGTTCAAAATAAAAGCGATGACCAATCTAATGCGACTATCGATATGGTATCTGAACCAAAAGTTGACGAAACTATTGATATGAAGCCCGAACCAATAGCCGACGAAACTACTGCTTCTCAGCCGATTATTGAATCTGTTCCGATTCTTACCTCTCGAGTTGCCATGGAACCAACAAAACCAAACGAGGAAATTCCTAAAGATGTATCTGTTAAGGAGATTATTCAACAACCATCAACTAATGAACTCCCAAAAAACCTGGGCGAAAATGAACCAGTGGATAATACTACAAATGAAGTCAGTATCTCTCAACAGAAACCTACTAGAACAATTCTTTCATTTAGCACTCAAAATTATTTAGATGATGATACTCCTATTGTTTCAACCTATATACAGAGAGAACTTCCTACAAATAATGAGAATTTTTCTTCTAATACGGTAGAGAAAGACACTTCAAGTATAGAAATAATAAGCAAGAAACCTGTAATAAGCGACGTTGTGATACCGAAGGGGCCTGCCAGCCAGACGGGAATCAATAAGACTAATATTACACAAGTGAATACGTTGGATGAAAAGGACCATGCTGCATTAGGAGGTGAAATAACGATGAAATTACATAAAATCTTCATTAAATGGAGATCAATATGGAGCTACATTAAAGAAAAATCATATTGCGATTTATGTCCAATTGGGTCGGGTTCTACGTTTATGGGACTGTTCTTTATAGAATTCCCTGGTGAAAAAATTATACCAGTCTCACTGACACATTCAGATTACCTACTGACTTTAGATTATGAAGAAGAGTTTTTAGAATTGGTTAGCAGTTATCATTACCATCCGTTAGACTTTAAAATATATATTAAATGGATTAAAGCATATAAAGGGTTAGCAGCAACTGATCAAGGTGATACGATATTATTCAATTCAGGAACATATAATTTCAACCATAAAACCCGTGTTTATGAATTGGTAAGAGTTAGACATGATCTGATTTCAAACTATATTGCTGTTTGTCCCAATTTTGTTAAATATGGTCAATGCTTCAATAACCATTGTAAGCTAGACCATGACGATCAAGTGATAGCACTCTGTAGAAGAAATTATTCTACTCGAACATGTGGAGATACACAATGTCTAATGAATCACAATTTAAAATTTAACCCTTACATTGTTCCCGATTGTATGAAATACTTAACGGGAACTTGCAAACATAAATATGGTTATGAAAATTATCACCGAAATGGTGATTCATGTATATACATTCATTCAAAGGAAGTGAATCCATATCGTGAGTACCCCTATCCTGTTTGTAGACAATTTGCTATTTTAGGATTCTGTGCAAGAGGTATCCATTGTCTATTTAAACATTTAAAAGATTGTCCAGATTTCAAGGTTGGTGCACCATGTCTAATTCCAAGATGTAACTACATACATAAAGGTAGCCCATCGGATCCAACAATGTCTGGAGCCCTACTTTCAGATGCAGCATTCAAAATTCCGAAATTATCACTAATATCGTACTCTATTGAAAAAGATGATGACACTTATTATGGTGAAAGATACAGATCGATGAATCAGTTTCAAGAGGAACAATCTCTATACAGTAGAATATCATTTGATCCAGCAGTACAATATGGATCAAACTCAAATAATCCAAAAACAAGAAAACTGACTATCGAAGAACGTATTGGAATCCCATCAAAAAGAGATAATTATCGATCTGCAACGAAATCAAGGAATAATCTAGACCCCATGAACCGAGATTTCATCTCTCTGTGACATAGGAATAAATATATATATAGTTACAAATTTTATATATCCTCCTCCAAAACCATTAAAGCCTTAAAATGCAAATTAGATTCAAGTTCCCATTATTATATATGCCTGACGTGTAATGCATGTTTTATGGGTGTAAATCGGTAGCCCTACTTAACCGCCTTGTTCACTCTGTCAGGGTAACATTTTAAACAAATTCGGAAAATTTTTCAATTTTAAATTTTTTGGAATTGATATAAAAGGAGCACAGATTTCATACAATTGATAATATTTATTCTTCACTCTTGTTTATATAATTTTAATTGTTTTTTCTTTTTGATTTGTTCCTAAAAAGACCAATCATCAGTAGTGGTTAATACTATCTCAAGATAATATTAATTACAATTTTTTATAGAAACCTAAAGTTTTGATCATTTGTGTTCTTAAGTTAGGATACCTCTTCGGGGGTATTCTGATTAGTTAATACTGGAACTCTGAGTGATTGATTCATTACATATAACCCATAGCTGAGTGGCATCTGACAGACCCTAAACAAGTCTGGCACAGATATCATTTCGTTTCCGGTTTCTTAGATCATAATCTCCTATGAGGAAGGTCCTCGAATAGTCAAACTATTCGAGGAAAGATACATGTTTATCAGAGGATTGTATAATGCAATCTGAGAGTTTGTAATCAGTCGTGTCTCTTCTTCATGGTAGGACAATTTTTTTATAATTTATTTTATTTAATTTCTCTTAACTGTCTTGTCTGTAAAAATTCACTAGCTGTACTTTCTAGTTATAATCTTGAGATGTCGAACAAAGGAAGTAAGAAGAGGTTATTTCACAGCTTCGTATCTTATTAAAGTATTTACAATGATTATTATGTTTGATTTAACTATATGTATGTATGCAATGGTATCTTGTTTCTTCAGAACTGTTACCAAAAAAACACAAAGAGATTATATTAGAGGGTTATTAGATCAAATCGACTTGGACTGGTCTTCATTCCCACTCTTAGGCCCTGCATTTCCAGCTTCACCAGCATCACCTCCATCAGTAGTCTTCTCTCGTTCCGCTATCTCCCATTTCAACCTTTCAGCAGCCCTGTATATCTTGCTTTGTAAGTAAAAACTACCACCTATTTCCTTATCATTTACATCAAAGAGATACTTAAATCTCTTGTTAACATTTTCTAGGTTAATATCTTTATCTTCCTCCAAATTTAAAATCTTACAACTTTCATCCAAAGTAATTCCACCATATTCTGCAGATGATGTACGAGAACCTGCTGCTGCTCTAGCACCTTGTTTGGCAGATTGAGATGCTGCTTGTCTGTATGCTTCAGCAAAGGCTTTACCAAAAACTTGAGCACCTGTAATTATAACCTGAACAAACGCCCTATGAGCCATTTTTATCGCAATTTACTTCAAATATATGTATTCGACTACAGCCAACCTAGCCTAAACAACTAAAAAATAACTTCCTTAGACCCCCAAATCAAACCCCAAACTTCTTTAAAGCTTCCTTATGAATAATATTCATTCATAATTTTTCAGTTCTTTCTACTATTCCTATCAAATTTTGATATTACCGGAACTATTAAATTTTCAATATCCAGAGAGGTCTTGAACCAAATACAGCATATAAACATGATATATCGTTGTATACGAGATAGTTAAAAGGGTATAATGTGTATAATATCAATCAGGGCAATAATAAGAGAGCAGATCTGGACCTGAACTGTCCAGCATTCAATAGTTATAAGAACAGTGACGACTGTAACTGGAGGAAAGAGTGAATATTGTTTGAAGGTTTGGCTAACAATTTCTTGTATTCCTTTCAAACAACATTTCCCTTTTAGTGCAAAAAATTGAATTACTGCTCCTAATGTCACATATGTATTCATTCCTGTCACAAGATTGAATAATATAACTGTCAACAATATAGTTGAATTATATGTTTGAATGTACTTTTATTTATTTAAAATCCCAATTAATAATTATATAAATTTAAATATGCCAACTAAAGTTTATGTGTCGTAAGTAGAATGAGGATCTTGTCATATATGATATATCCGGTATAGTTGGAAGCAAACTTCGTAATTGAAAATCATGATAGCTCTTTTATTATAAAGAATAAAGAATATCTTCACCTTAGAATTGTTCTTTACTTCTAGCAAAATCTGATTGACTCTTAAGTTATTTGTCTACCTTGTAAATTTCGTTACCGTATAGGTATGGTGTCATGATTGAAGCTTTAATAAAAAACATGGTTTAAAGCTTTCCTAGTGCAAATATGATACTGATCTATTATTTTGAGTCGTTTTATAATAATGCTTTTTTAAATACAGGAAAGTTTAGTGTAAAATAGATCTTTGTTTGTTTTCCTGTTTCTTTGTTCGATTTTTCTATAATTGTTTTGATTCTGTTAATGTAGGCATATTGCTGGATGATTCGGTTTTCAAAGCAGTCCCATTAGTGCTACCTTTGTTTACGGTATCCCTTGATTTTGGATAGCTCTTCAAAATTTCACTCAATCTAGTTCGGTTGTTCAACTTTGATTTCGTAGCTTTATAGAAAGATTCTGCAAATTGGTTTACTTTAAAAAGATTACAATCTGGGTTGTTGTTACCGCAACCACATTCACAATTTTTCGAAATTGTATCAATAGAATGTATTAGAGAATACTTATCTAACTCATTTAGAGTTTCAAATTTTGAAGTATCTTTGAGTATTGGTCTAATGGGGTGTCTCAAATCCCATTGCCATGCTATACATAGTTCTTCATCTTTTTTAATATCTCTGATAGCTCTTAAATAAAATTTAACAGAGGGTGTGGAATCATTTTGGGAATCGGTACGAATTGTTGCCAATTCAACATTTGGATGACAACCGTATCTTAGAAATCTCGTTATATTACCGGAAGTCCTTTCATCAATATGTAAAGGCCAGTGAGGATGGAAGAAAACTTTAGGTTTTGATGTGCCCCATATTCTATAATGATTTTTTGGATCTTGAAGGTATCTTTTTTGGAAATCAATTTCACCAACCACTTCTACTATTAAGTCAGCTGCTTTGCAATCTTGACTGATAAATAAACCAACTTTGTTTTTCTTAGTGGAGGCAGCGTTAAATGGACTTGATGAATATGACTTTGTCTCAACAGGAATTGGGGAAATAGAATCATTATGGATACTTAATACCCAATCATCATCCTTATGTTTTTCAATAAACAGTTTTGCATATTTATCAATATATTTGGATTCACTTAAAACTTTATAATTCAAACAATTTGATCTAGTGTCTTCAATCTTAACATTTTTAACCTCAGATGAATTATTTTTCAATTTGTCACTTAATAAAGATAATCTCTCCTTCTGCTTGATCACAGCTACTTCAATATCCATTCTTTTCATTCTTGGTTTACAGATATTACACAAGAAGAAATCTCTCAAGGCTTCTTGATCTTCTTTGATATCATAGCATAAAGCATGTTGCCATCTATTACAATTTGCGCACTTTATTAGAGATCCATCTTCTTCATCAATACCACATATGCACGTTATTATATTATCATTTGGATCAACAATGTAATAATCAGGCACTGGCCATGAAGGTTTTGCTATCATATCAGCATGGTTCTCAGAATTACTACTTTTCATTCGTTTAGGTTGCAATGAACTTGTCTCACTGCATTCAGTATTTGATCTCTTCAATGGTAAAGGAATTATAGCTGCTGCTGCTAGAGCTTCAGCTGCTGCTCTACTCTTATCAGAAACACCATGATGGGATATATTTGTAATGTGTTGACCTTTTGATAGCATCAATAGAGTGGAAGCATCGTCCAAAATAGAGTGTTCCTTTATCATCTCTTTCGACATCATTATCGTATAGTTCTTAGTTCTGTATTGAGAGATCCAAAAATTTTAAAGAAAGTTTGAGGTTATGGATATCTATACTTATAATTGAAGTTCTATCAATGGTAGAATAAATGTTAACTCTGTCTTTGAATAGAAGATGAGCTGAAGAGGATGACTATAAGAATATATTATAACAAAAAAATCGAGAGTTAACGATGGAGGCTTGGTTAAATCAATTATCCTTCTCTATCTAAAATGAAAGTACTTGATTAACACCTTAAGAATTTCACAGTAATAACCTTTTGGTAACGAATTATATTATATTAGATATTCAACTTGATTCAATATAATATAAGAAATAACAGTATGAGTAACGGTATATAATTGAATCAATTAATAGCTATATATGGGGTCGATGATGGTTGGCAAACGTCTATCTTAGTGACCTGACATAATATTACTCAACTTAATGAAAATATATATAGAGAGAGAGTACATATATATATATATATATAAGTATTTAATTCAAACTTCAATCTAAGAACTTATAATTAGGCTTATTATTGATTAAATACAAACAAGAAACCGTTAAGTTTGTAACAAATGTACCCAAGTATGTCACCGGTACGAAAGATATCAATCGTAATGTCACAAGCCCACTGATTCATTCATTATTTCATTATAATATCAATATAATAAGAATATTGATAGTATAGAGAGAGACCCGCCACATGCAAGCTTAACCAAATATAGTGAGATGAATAACAACACATTGTGAAGATACCAATGTCATTGCTATCACTATAGAGCGATTGATTATGATCAATCGATACATTTCATGCAGGCATTTACATATACTGGTCCATACAAACATGATATCAATCTCTGGCAATTGTAGCTAACTCTCTGTTCCCTGTTCTACTTAGATTCAAGAGATGGATTAATTGGTTAGGTTAGGAGAAACTTATACGCTACGTTTACATTTATCTAAAAGTTAAAAAATAGTCCCAAACGTCTCTAGCAAATGAAACCATGAAGAACAGTACAAACTACAAGGATAAGTCGAAAAACTCTTTGTCTGGGAACGAATGCACGATTGGCAAGACATCTTAGCTATCTCATCTCATCCATCATGAATACGGTAAAGGCAACTAACCCTGTAGTGACTACGATACCTCTAAAACGAGTAGGAATATGAAGAAAGAAATAGCCAAAGTAACAATAGTTGAACTAACATAGGATAAAGTGAAAAAAAAACTTCCCTAACTTAGACTCGAGATGTACATTACATGACAAAACTTCGAGGAAACATATCGAATTTAGTTGGTTGACTTATAATAATAAACTTAATCGATTACTTGGTCCAACAACAGTTTCTCAAGGAAGTTCTTAAAAGCAAGCGTTTAAGCACAGGAATAAGAAATCTAGATTGATTACAATTGTGAAAATGTTAGCAGAGAAAGAGGGATGGATGGTCAACTTTAACCAACAGTTTTTGTAGGATTTAAAAGTGCAGTTATCGGTTTCTAATCCTAGGATCACTCGTTGCTCTTTTAAAATCTTAAATTTTTAATTTAACATACTCATAGGAAACAAACAAGAAATAACGAACCTGTATCCATCTCTTACGAAGACCAAACAGATAGTAGAAAGTAAAAATATTGGAATGCTTGAGCCCAACAACATTTTTACACGGGATAAATTGACAAGATCAACGTACAGATATCTTTTAGAGCTAGCTATTGGAATGAATTATTACACTGGAGAGTTAAAGATTATTCTGAATGTTATTTTTTTCCAGGTAGAAACCACCAACTGTAATCAAGCAAAAGTAAAAATAACATATATTCTTTCAAGCTTACTTGATCTACAGCAACAGTAGTAGCAAAACTTCAAAGAAATTTTATAATCCAACTGCTATGAGGATAACCTGTCGATTAGAAAGTACTAGTTTTTCTATTAAAATAGATAATTATAAGTTAAAGAAGTTTAAACCCGGTAAAGCTATTGTATGCAGTCTAAACCAAAGAAAAATCTAAATTATGGACCTAATCGAACCTCTGTAGCCCAACATCGTCTAGATTACTTTGTAAACAACCTTACTTATATGTTAACTGCAAAACTATATATGCTGCTTAACAAAGAGATTCGAAGTTTGTTAAGAGCTGATACATTTTACTCTCTATCTTGTAAGAAGCAAAACAAGAAAGTCAAAAAAAATAAAATAAAAACGAGTAACCAATGTGAGATCTCGGAGAAACTCTTTTGTGCAGTTTATCCCAACTCTTTTTCTGGTCTGCATGGGTGTATCTCTGTGCATGCTTGTTCCCTGCTAATAAATTCTAGAACCGCAAGTATATCATTATTTTCATTATACTTAATTATTCCATTCTTGTTATTACCACTAGCTGGTAAGTGATAAGTTTCTCTTCTTCTCCCCCTCTCTCTATCACTATCCAATGCATACTTGTGCTTTAAAAACTTCTAGAATCGTTACTTTTCCTTTTTGGTTCTGTTTCTACTCAATCCCTCCTACCTTTCCCAAAGTCAAGTCCATATCACCTTCTTTACTGTTGTTGTCTATTATTGGTTCGTTATATGTTATTAGTTCGTTCCAGGTTTAGTGGTTCAACAGTCTTTAAAAACTTGTGTTGTGGAAGGACCGCTTAGTTCACATTTGCAAGAGTTGTTGATTGGACGTATAGGCCCAGAATCAGAGATGTCAAGAACAACCAAAATAGAAACATATTTTCACTCTTGATATCTTACATTTATTTAAAAAAAACAGCATACCAATGATAACGTTGTTTAATTATAGTTTAAAGATGTCCTGGTAGCGGTTTGCTCTGGCTCTGAATAAATACAAATTGTCACTGGCTATTACTGTGTAACTCTTCTTATAGTTGATAAATTCAAGCGCTATCAATGTTGGTTTTCCTCGGAAAAACCTTCACTTTCTCTCTCCCCATTCCAAAGTTAACTTACCTACGGAAATGAAAAACAAAACGAGATTTTATTCGCTTTGGTACGTCAAATTCACTGCAAGAAATCATTTGTCTTTCAACTCAACTTAGTCAAGATTTTTTATTGCACCGGATTAATTCCTTCTTGAGAAAAAAAAAGAAAAAAAAGTAAACCATAAAATATAAGTTTTTCCGGGTTATTTCTCAAAAGGTTCTTACAATATTAAAGACTTCCTTGTTTAGTCAAACAAACGTAGCTAGCGCCATCACAAATTATTATTCTACTCGTTTCGTTCCACCTCATCTCTCCCATACTAAGAGATGTGGTGCGGGATGGCAAGTCCACCCATCCTTTATGGACCTGAACGAAATATATCGAAATGTCAGTAAACGAAAGAAATTTAATAATAACTACAATGGTAACGATAATTATACCTATATCATCTACGTATGATATCAGTAGTATCGCATACTTTGAGATTAAGTAAAATTAGATCGTAATCGTACAGTTGAGAGTCCTTTCCTCATTCTCGTACTGCATCTTCAGCTTGTAATATATAGTCTGGCTGGCAAAAACCCACATTAACGTTTATTGGGTGGGGAAGAGTGTATATAATTAGTTTCTCTTTTAGTTTAAAGATAATTAACTTGTTATTAACAGATGTGGGTGTATCAAAAACGGCTGCTTCATGTTTGCTATGGTAGTATAACATTCAATTTGACTTGGCTCCTCAACTTAGGGAGAACAACTATGTATCTTCACGTTTGCTTTCAGTTATTCCTCCCGATAACATGCTGACATCGATAATCTTTCCGGTTTTAAAGTTTCGTAAAGATTGAAAAAAAAAATAGTTTTAATTATTCTTTCTTAATACTCTTTATAGGCCCATATGCTAAACGAATTTAAAGTTTATCGGATGATTTAAAATTGCAATCTTTCAATAAATTTTTTTTATTATGATAACTTGCTAGATCTATCTAGACTTCAACAGTTTTATTAAATGTTGGGTATCTCAGAATCCTCTATTGTCGATTTTTTAGGGTAATTGTTGAAATTAATTATATTTTCTTTCTTTGGACACTCAACAATAATTAAACATTTGATTTTCATCTAAGGGTTCTTATTAAGGTTCTGCTGATGGAACAACGTGTTTGTTTCTTATAGATACATACTATCTTATTTTCTTTACATAAAAAAATAAAATACTACTTTAAGAAATTTGGCATTAAAAATAAAGATACAAAAGGTAAAATGCATTACATAATTTCCGGCTTAAAGATTCATAACTAAACCGTATGGGGAACCCGCTATTAAGCAAATATTAATTTCTTTAAGGCGTCAAAAATAAAATGGAGGGAGGTTCATTAATCATAGTGGGTTATTTTTACCACTTCATCATCATTACAAATTTTGGTTGTTTGTATTTTTGTGCATCATCGGTGTATATTAAAATTCTTCTTTTAATTATTAATACTATTATTATTATTTATATTCGTACAAGTCGTCATCATCATCATCATCATTAATTTTTATTTAACATTATAATTCAATTTAAAAAGTGAGATTTCCATACTGCGGGCTATGGACACTTATTGAACAATCTTGTCGTTGGCTATTATTTGAATTGTCAATCTGTGGTGAAAGAAAACCTCTTGGTATCACACAAGGCATTTTCATGCTCATTGATGAATTGAAAGAATCATCAATAGACATGTTATTTAATAGATTATTCACTGGATACAAGGATGGATCAGTGTCTTGTTTATTAATGCAAGCACCACTGTTATTACCATCATTATTAAAGTGGATATAATTCTGATTATTGACGTAGGGTAAAGCAATGTAGTCATCAATGTCTGCATCTTCCTGTATACAGTTACTAAGATTCTTAATTCTTTCATTTGCTTTGTCTGGTGAAATTTCATTTGTTTGGATCAATAATTTTTCATAATACTGTGAGAAATAATCTGTGTCATGTTCTTCTAAGGCTTCAATATCGCTTGCTAACTGTCTTAAACTACTATCGGGTTCTTCTGTAAGATTTTGATGCACTTGGTGAGTATTGATTCTGTTATTATTGTTAGGGATTTGGTAAAGTGACAGACTATTTTCAATTTCCTTTGAAAGTTCAATCTCATCTTGTGTGGCTGAAATTGTAGAATCTGTTTCAGTTTCAATAATCTTATCCTCTTCACAATCATCATTCAAAGCTTCTTCTATCTGATCTTCAACAATGTCGGTTTCTTGTAAAAACTCTTGTAAAGAAATTTCTCTTTGTTGATGTTTGGCAATCTTTCCTGGTTTCTTTATTATATCCATAGCTTTTTTTTTGAAATTATTGATACTCATTATTTGTTTACCATAATTCAAATCAACATTTTCATTATTTTCAGTATTGATATCCTTATTACTGCTATTGAGTATTATTGAGTTTTTGCCATTATTAGTATTGTTTTTGGAATTGAAAACCAATGGACGTGAATGATACAAAGTTGGTTTAATTCCTGCAAAGATCATGGCTTGTTCAGTATTTGTGATTGAAGTCTTATTGTTGAACTTTGTACTTGCTGTAGAATATACCTGTTGATTTGTAAAATTCTGGCTTGGTAATGAATTGAAATTTTCCATTGCAGCAGTAGAGGCAGTAGTAGTAGAGTAATTTGTTGAACTTGAAGTGTTGAAAGTGCTGATATAATATGGATCCGCTACAGTGCCTTTAAAAAATGATAAAGTGCATAATTCTTCAGCGGTAGCTCTTTCATTAGGGTTCCATCTCAAACAATATTTTATTACTTCGATCAAGTTTTTCAATTGTGAACAACAAATGATAGATTCGAAAGATTTCCCCTCTAGATATGGGAATTGCAGGTTTAAACTATGAGCTAAATCTTTTGCAATTTCCCATGAACCTCCGTGAGGTTTATAACCTGTGATTTTGCTTTCTTTAGTTCTATGAGGAGTTCCTAAAACTTCTATAATTTTCCAAATTTGATCCATTTCGCTTAAACCTGGGAATAAAGGTTTAAACATTGTGACTTCTACTGCGACGCACCCGAATGCCCAGATATCCAAAGGTCTTGAGTAGTAACCGCTGCGCAGCAAGATTTCTGGAGATCTGTACCAACGAGTTGATACGTAAGCTGTGTAAGGGTTCTTATTATTGACATGGCGGGATAACCCAAAATCGGCTAATTTCACCACGTAATTATCTTGATAATTCCCCTGTTGTAGGAAGAATTTATCGAAATATTTCGCACTTGGCGAGATTAAGATATTTTCTGGTTTTATATCTCTGTGAAAGAAGTTGTGAGAATGGATATGTTTAATTCCTGCCAAAACTTGAGCTAAAATTGATTTCAAAGAAGGAATGGAGAAGACTCTTCTTTTTCTGTGTCTCATCATTTGATATAGATTTTGTTCCATACATTCCATTACGATGTGTAGATGGAAATCCGATGTATCGATAAAGATTTCGAACATTTGGATTAGATATCTACTTGAAGGTATTGCTAAGATGAATTTTATTTCTCTTACTCTTGTGTAGTCGTGTAGAGTAGGCAATTTTGTGATCATTGTTTTTATTGCGACCAATCTTTTTGATTTATTGATTACATTTTCGTGTGACATACCTTGTGGATCTAGTAGAGTATTTTTAATCTTCAAATTATTATTATATAAGTTCAAAAAATCGTAGTTGGCCTTTGCCAAGGATACAGAGCCGAAGGAGCCATTGCCCAATTCTTTGACCAATTTGTATCTTCTGTCCATTGAATAGAGAGGGATACTCTGTGGAGGATTATCTTTGTCAGGAGGCAAAGCAGTTGAAGTTAGATTCTTTGCATTTAATGACATTCTGTTGTCTATCATTCTGTACGAGTGTGTATGTGTATATTCCAAAGATAAAGAAACAGTACAGTACAATGAATGCTATGCTATTCTATGCTATACTACACTATACAGTACGATATGATATTGTAAGTGTATATTTGTATTGTATTGTATTGTATTGTATTGTATTATACCGGGGTTGGGTCTACTGATCTAGTATATATGAAAGTGCATTGAAGAGAAATAGAATAAGAAGAGGAAAGGGAAGGAAGAGAAAAGAGACGGCGGCAGAAACAACAACAACAAGAACAAGAACAACAAATAATTTCCAAGACCAATGGGGGGATGAGAACGGAAAGCTGACGATTAAACTAAAAACGAAGTCAGTTTATATATCAGTTGCAAAAGGGAAACGAGGACACATTTGCAACGCCAACTTTGTGATGAGCAAGTGTATTACAATAATACACTACAAGAATACCAAAATACCATAAAAACAATAAAACCAATCAGTATATCATGCATGTCACTTCGTTGGGACGAGACGGTTTTCGATTGGGAATGGGAAACACAAATCATAGCGTAAGCGTAAGCATAAGCATAGAATGGCATAAGCATTAGCATAGGCATACAAAAGAAGGAATCTCCAAGATTTGGAATGGCGAGAGAGAGAAGAGAAGAGAAGAGAAGA